TAAGAACTCTGACCAATGCAATGACCAACCAGGATTCCACAAGAATGAAGATGGTCAGCGCCTGGCACAAAGGTGACGGACTTGATCGAGATGAAGGAGACCCACAGTTTGGGACGTGGTTCTTGTGGGAATTTACTTTGCCTAACTATGCATAATTGGTATATGGATTTGTTTTTCTTTTCTTTTTTTCAAATGGGGGGGAGGGAGGGGATGGAGAGAGGTGGGAAGAAAAGAAAATGAATGCTTGTTAATTGAAAAAAAATTAAACATCAAAGCAGAAGACATAAGGCAGTTATAGCTAAATGGAAGACTGGTTGACAGCTTTTCCTTGCAGAGGCAAATAAAGGATTGATGGAGTTTGTTTCCCCGAGCATTCAGAGGCAAGACTTGGCCATCTCCTCTTGCAGTGCTCCTAATAAGATAAATCAAAAAACTGAAGCTTAAATACCCAGGCCTCTTTAAAAACAACAACAACAACAACTTGACACGATCCTCTGACTTCGATACCGAAGTGAACACCAGAGGTGACAGTAACAAATATGCTGGATAGTACTCTGAAGATTAAGAAGTGAAAGCAGACCCAGGGTTCGAGATGATTCAGAAGTCTCAATCCTGAATCTCATAACATCAGAGGACCAAAGACTCAGAGCTGGACTTTAGGTCTTCAAGTTCAGAACCCTCATTTTACAAATGAGGAAACTGAGGCTAGAGAGGTTCAGTGACTTGATCAGAGTCACCAGCATTTCTTGAAGAAGAGAGTCAGAGTGAATTCCCACATCCAGGCAGTGTGGTACAGTGGAAAGGGCACTGATGAACTCAGAAGCCCTAGGTTCAAATCCCAACTCTGCCATTTACTCGGTGGGTGCTCTTGGACAAGTCACTGCATCCTCAAATGTAAAAGGAAGGAGCTGGACTATATGATCTCTACAATCCCTTCCACAGCGAAACCTGTGGTCCTATGATCACAATGAATAAAACATCTGTGTCTTAACTGACAGGAAGTTACTGGGAATCATGTGTGAATCAGATATCATATCAGTCAATCAATAAACCTTTACTAAACATGTATTTTGAGTGGGCCTTGTACTAAGTACTATGCGAAAGTCCCACTTAGGCCACTGAGTAATTAGAGCAAAGGTCAAAAAGCCTCCCCACATTAAAATAATAAAGTTTTAAGAGACAGTTAACTTACAATAGCTCCAACCAGACCTATTCAAACAGGTTAATGATTTCAATAGATGGAAACAGATAACAGAAAAAATATTGGTTCAGAGTAGTCCCATTTTTAAATATATTTAACCATTGTAAATCAATCACAAGAATGAAGAGCATAAAAGAATCCAGAATCTGCCTTGACCAGTAAACACTTTACTTCCTTGCTATGAAAAGAGACACAGCAGCCATGACCAACATAGGTTTGGAATATAAGTCCTTTAAAAAATATCACAGAGAAGAATGGGGGAAGATTCCAAGTAATCACCTCCCAAAATATTAAAGAGCAGTAGAAGGAAAAACAAGTCTGCAAAAAGCTTGGCATGAGACACAACTAAGCCAGATTAGGCTGAGCGTGTGCAGACGAAATTGGAAGGAAGACAGCAAAGAGATGAAAAGAAGATTCGATCTGCCAACATTTTTGGTAACAATAATTTATTCTCACACATAAGAATGGAATCATTACTGATCGGACTCTTTACACCTAAGCTCCTGATGTGAAACAACGAGGAAGTGAAAGCAGCATTTATAAAACTCAAGTTGGTAAGAACGGCTGGGCCTGACCAAGTAAACACGGATGAGATCTATGTTCCTAGAAGTGACAGTTCTGAAAGGATTTAAGGCTCAATCTAAAAGATATCTGAACAGAGGGAAAATACTAGCTTCCTGGCAAATAAATTATGCTATTTTAAAATAAAGGCGACAGACCGATCCCTATTCTGGCCTTCTCTTCAAAGTTCCGAAGTACTCTTTCATTTCAATGAAATATTAATGCCAATGATACACACACACACACACACACACACACACACACACAAATACCCCCTCTCAATCCTTGACAAAAGCAGCAAACAGGCTGGCCTCTCCTAATGATTTTCTATAGCAGGCTAGATTTTTAGTCATACGAGAGACTGAAACATGCATAGAATACAAGATCAGATGGTTCACTGTTTGCTGATGATAAAAAAAAAAGGCAAACTATTATGGCAAAACAGAGATTTAAAGAGTCCTCCAAAAGAAGACAATGCTCTTGGACAGATAGCACCACACATAGGACCCTGACAGCAATCTGATTAACAATCTCAACAGAAGCACCAACCAGGGATCCATAGGGTTCTCCACTCCAAGGAGCTCATAATCTGCACAAAATCCAAAGGGAAGATGAGCTCCTAAAGATGTAGCTGTCCTATACCGTGCTGATGGCACGAAGCGACCATTTACAGAATGGGCAACCTTGGGTGCAGGAGGGAAGTATATGCTGCAGACACTGTTCACCCTATTTTGCTGATAAGGAAGCTATGATGTCAAGAGGTTAAATGAGCTGCTGCTCAGGATCAGAGCCAGTTACGTGCAAGAGGCAGGGAATCTTTAGCAAGATTCCACAATTACTCAAAAAGGATGAGCTTAAAAATCCACACAAAACTCAGTCTATTGTCCAGCGCAAGCTATGAGGTTAGATGAGCCACCCATTAAGGGCATATGTGTAGAAAGGAATTGTGACCAGTGAGCTATGCCTAGAACCGAAGAGGAGAGACAGGGAGCACATACTGCATATTGGAAACGGTTCAATGCTTTCAACAGCCCTAAACCATGCATGCCATGACGTGAAATCAATCTTTTCAACGTACGTTGTGCCTTACTCTGGTGGACCCAACCCGTGTCTCTTCTGAATCTAAGTCCAGTGCATTTCCTCTTATACCACACTGCCTCTCACAATGATTTGCATGCAAGAAATGGTATAAAAAGACATCAGTTAGGGAATGTGTGATTGGTCAGTAGTGAGATTGAGAGACAACAGATGGCTAGCCAGGCTGCTGCACCTGGGCAGTCTCAGAACGAAAGGGCTTCAGCACATCAGCTAGCTCCTCAGGAGAGGCTTTACTGACAGAGACGAACAAGAACTGGACAAACTGAAAAGACACTGGCAGGGAAGGACCTGTAAGTCAAGTCAATGAGATGGAGGAACTGTCCAAGTGCTGAACGACAACCTTCTCAAGAATTTCAGGTGCTTTGAATACAACGCTGAGAAACCAAATTGAAGTGGGACACTTTCCCTGCCCCTTCGAAGCTACAGCCCAGCAATGGGCCTAGAAATTAAGAGACTGTCAGACATCTTAGAGAAAGCAATTTCATTATGATAGCAAGCTGGAAGCCACGTTACAAATGAACACAAAATTAGGTAAGAGCAGGCGAAGGAAACCCTTCCTGAGAATTCAGCTATGAGAGGCAGGCGACTGCACGATAGCTTGATCATACAGTAGAGTCAAGTGATTGTTTTTGGAAGGATGGATGAGATCCAGGTTATGTTCATCAACAGCAAGAAAGGAGTTGGTGAATAATTAGAGATTTAAAATCAGGGAAAAGACAGGGGGAAGATGATCAAAAGGGCAGGGTCCCAGGGGAAACAGGGAGTGGGATCCAAGGTATAAGCAGATGGATTGGTCTCGCTGAGGAGAAGAGTCACCTCAATAGACTGGAGCAAGAGAAGAGAGGATGAGGGATGACATGGAGGTGTTCTGAGATGCAGAACAGGAGAGAAGCAGCAGCTCACAGTCGATGGGCAATATTTGCTAAGTAAATTAGGAGGCAAGGTCTTCCACTGAGAGGAAGGAGTGAGATTGGTAAAGAAGTATTAGGGAGAAATGAAGAAATGTAGAACAGCTCCTAGCTGAGTGTGACAGAGATAAGTCTGGAAGGGGAGTGGACTGCTTTTCAGCAGTGAGAGCACAGCTGAGATTAGATAACGTAAAGCCGAAGTGAGCCAGGGAGTGACAACTCTTCCAGAGACACACACTCTGGAGACACACAACTAGAAGGTTAAGTTCTTTCCACCTCTAAATCCTCTATGGCAAACTCTCCTGACGCTCACTCACTTGCTGACACATTCAGTCACCACCATGTATATATTATGATCCTTTACTTCTGTGTTACAGATTTCAGGCCCTAGTCTCGGGTTTCCTCCAGGACAGTGCTCAGCTTTCTGCCTTAGCTCCTTTCTTACCTGCATGTACATGTAGGGTTACTACTGGCCCCTGGTAATCTCTGGCATTCTTCTGGTTAGCTTTGACCTTCCCTGTACCACTGTACCTTAAAAAAACACTTTGCAAACCTAATGGTATTGGTCAGGAGAGCCCTTATTCATGACTAGTAAGGAAGTGAGCCTGATTATCTAGGAGGGGACAGATAGAGCCAGTAAACATGTACAAGATGAGAACACAGGGGCAGATGATCATTTTTTTGGTATTGAGTTACAAAATTTTACTAAGAAACGCTAACAAGCATCATTTTCTCTTATGATTTACTATCTAGAATAATTTCTTAACTCTACTTGCAAAAATAAATAATATAAAAGTATCAAAAATTCAGAAGAATATATTAAAAGTAGTGATTACTTAACTGGTGATTGACAACCCCAAAATAACAATTCACTGCGGACTCGATCTTAACTCAGCCTGAGAAAACTAAAGATCAAAGAGAACTCCAAAAACTGACAGCTTACCCACAACAAATTAGGCCCCACATTTGCAGAGGTTTTACTGCGTTGTAAACACTTAAGGTTTTATTTCAACCAACTATAATTCAAATTGAGAGTAATCAGACCATTTTGAATTTTGTCAAAGATAAACATGCACTATATCCATTTTCAGAATTATTTCTCGATTCCTAGCTAACACTTCCTCGCACATCTTGGTAATGACGGTAAGACATTCCACCAGAGTTTAAAACAATAACAAATGCAGTTCGTTTCCAACTAAGTGAGAGCAAGAATAAGTCACATGAGTGAGTACCTTAATGCCTTTGGTATCCTCTTCATCAAATGAGCCGATATCAAAAGCATCTGCAGCATTTACCTCACCCCGGGGAGGGATCAGCGGTGGAGGATACTGGGAAATTCAGAGCAGGGCAAGACAATGAGCAAGCTGTGCTTTCTGGTACAGGTATTTTTTGAGGGGTGGGGAGTGGGGGGGACATCAGAAAAGGGCAACAGAAAGGAACGTTTTTCAAGATGAGACCTATTGTATCACATATTAAGTTTAAAACCATCATGTTGTGCATTTTTCCTTATATTTGCTTATTCTGATCACAACAAAAAGAATCTTGCTTTTCAGAGAATTCAATGAAAATTTTTTTAAAAAACAAATTGATTTTCAAAGTTTTGATTTTTAAAAAATTACTGGGTCCCTAAGATTGCAGATTTTAATAAAAAAAATTTTATTTTTGGAATCATATTTGTTCCAGAACTATAAGGAGAACACAATGCAATTGGTACACATGCCATAAAGCTCGAATGCCACCTAATTTGGGAGCCTCCACTACATGGAGTTCAGAAGAGATATTAAGCATGGAAACCCCTTTTAACTCAGTTCTAAGTAGATTGCAGTTTGAAAAATTGTGCTTCCAAGGTCACCCTCTGAAGGCCACTATGGAAGAGTGACCACAAGCGCCAGGACTGGAGTGAGAAGATCTGATCCAAGCCCTGGGTTCCAACATGACTAGCTATGCAAACATGGGTGAGTCACTTAACCTCTCCGTGCCTCAGTTTCTTCATCTGTAAAATGAGCACAAGGATATTTTGCCCTACATACTGTCCACCAGATTGTTGTGAGGAAAACATTTTATAAACCTCACAGCACTCTGTGGATGTCAATATTATCATCAGAACATTATAAACCTAGATTCTCTTCCTTTGATCCTTTGCAAAAATGAGCACTTCCCACACTGGTAATCTGCACGACTGCTGGGGGTTTGTTCCAGCACTAATGAAGTGATTAATATTAATGAAGCTCACAAACACCAAGGATCAACATTATTCACATTAAAAATGGTTTCAGGTACCAATATTACATGGTGTTGTGCTGTATAAAAGATAAAAGTCAAATGGGAAAGTTGTAATATTTATTCTATATGGACTGAAATAGCTACACACACACACATACACACGTGCACACACATACACACACATACACATACACACATATACACACATGCACACACAGGTACATGCATACACATACACATACACAATACACACACACACACACACACACACGCACACTCTGAAATATTTCTCTCAACAAGCTGAAATGGGGAGCCTTTCAATTTCAATCCTGCGGCTATTCTGGGCCAAAATTACCTTTCTCAGATTCAGTTCTCTTCTCTAAATCACCATTTCATACACATGACTGGAAAATGTAATTTCTCAAATGTAAGAGAAAATATTTTGTAAAAAAGGTTTGGGTTTTTTTTACTAAATTTAGTATTCCCTTAAACATAATGGAATTTACATTGGATTGCCCTCTGCCCTGATGGGGGTAACTTCCAAACGAATAAGATCTCAGCCACTGGAGTGCTGAAGGTATAATTCAAGAACGTGAAGTAAAGCTAAAAGGAGGAATGGAAACAGAGAAGGATAAAAGGCCCAGAAACACTAAGCTGGAGGGAAGAGGGCGGCCGAGCTGTCCCCTCACTCTCCATCAGGCCACGATGCCAGGGTGGGGCCACAGTGAGAGGAAGAAACAACAGGCCGGGGTCTCATGACAGGCTGGCTACCTTCTGCAAGTAGACGTGCTGCCAGTCGACGCCTCTGAAAAATATGTGGCTTTTGACTTCCTCTGCACTAGAGAGAAAACAAACAGTATTAATGAGAACAAGCATGAAATAAGCAGAGCCAAAGTGACCCAACAGTGACCACGACGAATGTAAATAAAGCCCCCTCCCCAATCCTGCAGGGGCTGGGGAGGGGGCTCTATCAGGGGTCCTGGCTCTCCTCCTCTTCTTTCTTGTTGCAGCTGTGGTTGTTCCTGGGCGGGGGAGGGGGAAAGGACTTCCAGAAATGACTGAAATGTAAAACAAAGCCCTCAATAACTTGTTTTAGCTACTTCCTAAACAGCTGACCCCACTAGGAACTCGAGCAAGTAGGAGGATGCTGGGCCTGACTCATGGACAGAGGAAGAATGGGCGAGCGGCTGCCCCACTCAGCACCGAGAGGCCGAGGGAGCCGCCTTGGCCCTTTGCGAGAGCCTCTGCAATCATGACAAAGGGGCTTGACAAGGAGGCTCATTCAAGAGCCCTTTTGCCCCTTGTGCTATGGGAAGGAGTCCTTGTGGGCTGCATGGCCCGGCAATTAAGGCCAGAGCCCAGAAGGCCAGGGGTGGTCTGGCAGGGGAAGCCTCACGGCAGCAAGTTTCAGCTCCCATGGGCCGGTGCTTCTGGGAAGCCTGGGCACATTTGGGCCTGGGCTCTGAATGGGTTAGGGTTGAGAGGGATCAGGTTGAAGACTCAATTCCCAAGGTGTAGTCATTTGGGGTGGGCCAGGGCCCTGCTTGCCTTACGGGTGGGTACACTGGTACCCACTGGCACTGGAAGAGAAGCAATCCTCCTATCACCTAATCTTAGAAAAGCCTGGGTTCAGGGGAAGGACTGAGAGTTCAAGGCTCCCAGACCAGAGAGCCCGTCATCATCCTACTTCATGTCGAGGAGAGGGAAAGAGTCACCAGGAAGACCTAACGTTGGGCAGGGGTGAGGGCTATATGGCCTAACACCAGTAAGTGATTCCCAAAAGAACTCCCCAGAAAGAGGGGTTGAGGGGAGGGCATCAGGCTCAAAGAAAAGTCTTGATGCAAAGATTAAAGTGGATAAAAAGCTACAAATTCCATTAGGCCCAAAGAAGCTGCTGTAGTGGCTGACGAGGAGCAGCCGCCGGCCGAGAAGGCTCAGGAAGGAGGGAAGGCAAAGGTGATGGGGGAGAGCCGATGGTGTAGGCCCCTCTCGCCAACAATGGCAAGTGTGAAGGCGGTCAGTGGTCAGTAGACAGCACAGGACAACTCTTACGAGGCGCTGGGGAAGACCGTGGCCTGTGCCCTCCTGGGGAGGCCAGTGACTCCTGAGCTCCTTGGAAAGAAGTGGGGACAAGGAGAAGGTGGAAGGAGAAGATGCTGGGCGGAGCCCCTGGGACAGCCTGACTGGAACAGCAGGGATGTCACCGACCTCAGGCCAGTATAAATGCCCCCTGCCCACCCTCACAGTCGGCCTCCCACTTGGCTCCAGGAGCTCCCTGTCTCCCCGTTCTCTGCTCCTGGACTCTAGTCTGTGCTGAAGGGGCGCCCTTCTCTGGGCCCAAGGCCAACCTCTCCAGTGCCCCACAGCCCAATCCCCCCCTTCTCCAGCTGACTGCGCCCTCAAGGATCACCCCCTTGCTAATCTTCCATCTCTTCCTCCCTCCTGGCTCCCTCCCTGAGGCCTACAAACACGCCCAAGCTTCACCCTTTCTTTCTGAATGTCCCGACTCCCTCGGACTTCTTTCTAGCTGTTTGATCCCTCTTCCCTTTGCTAGATCACTGTCCACACCCCATAACATGCTGCCTGGGGCGCTGTTTGTACCCCTTCTTGTGACCTCATCTCCTCTCATGTATTTAATGATCAACTATACACAAAATTATCAACTATACACAGATGGCTCAGATTGCTGCATGTGTCGCCCTAGGGCAGGGGCAGGAACCTGGGGCCTCAAGGCCGCATGTGGCCCTCTAGGTCCTCGAGTGCAGCCCTTTGACTGAATCCAAACTTCACAAACAAATCCCCCTAATTTTTATTTATTTTATTTAATCCTTTTATTAAAAGGATTTGTTCTGTAAAACTCAGATTCAGTCAAAAGGCCTCACCCGAGGACCTAGAAGGCCACACGTGGCCCTGAGGCTGCAGGTTCCCCACCCTCAGATTAGGCTCTCTCCTCATCTGTAGTTTCACACCACCAACTGACTGCTGGACGTTTCAAGATGGAAGCCCTAGAGACATCTCACCCCCAACCATCCAAAACGGAATTCCTTTCAACTTTCCCCCAAAGGGCCTCTCAACTTCCCTATGGCAACTTCAGGGTCACATTCACTCATATTTTCATTCTCTCCATCTCCCCCAGTGCTAGTATCGAATAAATACTCACTGAACCGCATTGTACTACCTACCTCACAGGGTTGTTGGAAGGAAAGAACTATAGAAATGAGATCTATTTGCCTTTAACCATACAAGTGAAAGTACCCAACAGACCCCAGGGCATGGCTACCGCCACTTCAGAGACCTGTGGTTTTCCACAACCGAGCAGACACACGACAGTGCGATGAATAAAACCAGCTTTGGTGAACCCCGAATCACAGCAGAGGCAGGGAGACAGGCGGACAAGAAGGCACCGAGGAAGGAGCACCTACCCATTTCCCAGGCAGCCCAGTCGCTGGCTGACATCTCTTTGTAGCAACCCTTCCAGAAGGGATTTTAATTCAGGAGAAAATGCATCAGGAAGTTCCACGTTCTACGGGCAAAAGGCAATGTCATAAATAGAGATTAAGGCACAACCACTATAAAGCAAAGGCCACAGCTAAAGGCATTACAGGATAAGCATGTTAGTGACCATTTAGGGAGCTATGGAATATATATTTATTTGAAGGAAATCTGATCATCAGTAGGTTATCAGCACGTGAGGCAGGAGGAGAGTGATCCCGGTCACAATGGCCTCTCTGCTCTCCTGCTCTTGTCTCAGCCTTCAGCCAATCGTGCTTTAGCTTCTGGTCTAGGTTCAGAAATCCACTCAGGAATTCTTTTGTCCATGTGTTTAATAGGAATGTATACGCAGAGCCCATATCAGACTGCCCAAGCAGAGAGGCAGGGAGGGAGGGGGAGAAAATGCACAACTCAAAAGCTTATGGAAGTGATTGCTGAAAACTAAAAATAAGTTAATGAATTAAAAAATTAAAAAGAATCCTCTTTGCCTCCACTCCCTTGCAAAGGCCAGCTCCTCGAGCACGGCAAGCCGTCTTACCACTGTGAGCGTCATCCGGTCGATCTCGTGCTTGTCTTTCGTTTTGTGTTGCCGGAAAGGGCTGTGACTGTGGAAATAAATCAGATTGGAATCACGTTTCAGGCCAGAATACATCAAGCCTATGAAGCCGGATTAATCTCTTCTAAATTCGCATCTGGTGACTCTTTATCTTCAAAATGTGACTAGCAGCTGCCTGGAGTCAGGAAGAGCTGAGTTCAAATCCAGCCTCAGATAGCTGACCAGCTGTGTGGCCCTGGCCAAGTCACTTCACCTTGGCCTGCCGCAGTCTCCTCACTGCAAAATGGGGATGATGATAGCACCTGCCCCCCAGGGTTGGTGAGAGCTTCAAATGAGATCATGTTTGCAAAGCATGTTGCAGATCTTAAAGCATTCATCAAGGCTGGCTACTATTATTCAGAAACATGCAATCAAGTGCTTTTACAGCAATGTGGAACGAGTTATCATTTCCACGGTAATGAGACTGATCTAAAATATTCACACTTTTCCTCTAGGAAATATTCTTAAAATTGAATTTGGATAATAAGCTCTTCCAGTTAGCGTCCTAACAAGATAATAATATAATCAGCAAACAAGTAAGAAACATCAGTAGCAAAGATCCCTTTAAATACAAGGAAAGTGATTCACATTTGTGTACTGTCACATGAGTGCTGCCAATCACCAATCACCTTCTTACAAAGGAGCACTGCCACCATGAGATCTACTACCACAAAAAAAAAACGTTTAGTAGGAGAGATGCAATAAGTCACTTTTCCTTCAAAGAAGTGCTAATTATTTAATGTTAATTGACCAAATCTTGCCAAAATATAGTTTTCATTTCTAAGTCAGAGAAACTATGAGTTACAAAGAAGGGATCTTTGAGCTAACAAGATCCAGCAGCCTCAATCACCCCAGCAGCTAGAATCACACTTACATGTATATCAGTCACCATCACCAACTGAGAATCTTGTCTTTAAGATATTTTTATAAGGGGCAGCTAGGTGGCACAGTGGATAGAGTACTGGCCCTGAAGCCAGGAGGACTGGAGTTCAAATCTGACCTCAGACCAGACACTTGACACTTACTAGCTATGTGACCCTGGGCAAGTCACTTAACTCCAACTGGCTAAAAATAAAAAAAGAACACATTTTTATAGTTGTGTTTTAATATAATTGGTTCCCTTGGTAACCGTATGTAAGCAACATCAACAAGTCAACAAGCAGTTATTAGGCGATCCCTCCCTGGGCGCACGCCGAGGGCACAAGCTTTCTTGGCTGCTCCATCACCCCAGGGAGTCACACTGGGCTTGAAGCAGCCACCCCTACTTTGGACCTGTGCAGCTGCATTGCTCTACCTAAGTCCAAGGCTGCGCACAGTTCCTGCTGAACAGCATTCACTAGAGTCAGTCTGTGCTCCAGCCGGCCAGGCGCCTTTAGCCACTGTCCCTGCCGGTCGGGTCCCTGGGCTACTTCACTGGAGACCTCCTACCTCCTTAACCTGGAACCTTTAGCAACGTTCACATTAACCATCTGATTAACAAGCAAACTACTTGTTAAGTCGGGACATTCAACCATATAGGCTGTTGTTAGTAAAGTATATCAGAAAGGATAAAACTTTATGAAAATATAAGCTATTTGGTACTTTTTAAATTATAAATCCACTTTTATGATCAAAAACTTGACTTATTCCCCTTATTCACTTATGTGTAGAAATATATTAGATATGCTGGTCAGGCTTTGGCTCACGTTTACTTTTTTCTAATTATTTAGTTTTATTTTTTTGTCCAAGAGGTGACAATATCAACCTAGATTTCCTTCCTCAGCTCCAGTGGCCAGGAAGGAAGGGAGGAAGGGAGAGAGGGAGGGAAGGAGGGAGTGAGGGAAGGAAGAAAGGAAGGAAGGAAGGAACGAAGGAAGGAAGGAAGGAAGGAAGGAAGGAAGGAAGGAAGGAAGGAAGGAAGGAAGGAAGGAAGGAAGGAAGGAAAGGCAAGGTTCAGAGTGAAAGGCAGAAGGGAGCTCAGGGGCCTCTGGTCTTGGAAGCAGCTTATTCCAATTTGAGATAGCTCTATCTGCGGTTACAAAATGAAAATGAACATTATTATTAGCATATTTCCTCGCAAAAAAATCACCTTACAAATGCTCATGCCTAACACATCCCTAACAAACCATATCACCTTGGGCAAGTGCCCTCCCATCTCTTATGTTGTTACATCAACTGATGACATGATGAGAACTACATTCATAAAACACTTCGCAGATTATTTCCCCAAACACACAGACAAGTAGTTACCAACTCTGGATACAGCACTGTGCCAAACACTGGCCCAAAATGGCCAAGTCCCAGCCCATGAGGAGTTGAAGGCTCCACTGGGGAATGCAGCCCGAATTTCCACCACAGATGGTATCTCAAGTGGAGCCCTGGGCATACAGCATGTGCAAAAGCCTGGAGGCAGATGAAATTAAGACTCTAAGCAAGGAACAGCGAGTTGTCCACTTTGGCTAGAAAAGAGAATTCCTGGAGGGCCCTAGTACGAAGTAGAGTTAGAAAAGGAGCCTGAAGGGTCATCACTGAGGGGCTGAAATGCCAGGCTGAGGAATTCAGAATTCTTTCTAGAAGCAACAGGAACTACTGAGAGTGTTAAGCCTGAGAATGGAGGAAGACCTACGTCTGAGAAACATTACTTGGGCAGCCTTGTGACAGATGGATCAAAGACGCAGGAGAGACAGAGCAGGGAGAATGAGGAGACAGTCAGGCCTGTCTGGGAGCCAATTTGTCCTTGCTCCCTCTTCTTCACTTCCCTCCCATAACCCTTATCCGACCATTTGCCAGGTCTTGTAGACTCTTCCTCCACAGCATGGCTCCCATCTCCCACTCCCTCCCCACGTATTCACTCCAGCCACCATCCCCCGCGTCCCAGCCCTTCTTTCCTCCTAACTGGCCTCTCACTCCCAGTCTCTGTACCTGCCAATTTGGTATTCCCCGATGCAGATCTGACCATGTCAGTCCCAGTTCAATAGTCTCCTAGCCTCTGAGGGAGACCAATAAAGAGAAATGAGAATTCGAGCTTGAAAATGCTGGAAGTAATTCAGAACGGTTTGGACTTGTAAAAAAAGCCAGAGACGGAATGTCAGAAGAAATTTGGGGCAGTGTCAGAGAAGGGAAGGGGGCGTATTGGAGAGATGCTGCAAAGGTGAGTCGATGGGCCTTGGCCACAGCTTGGATCTGGGGGGTGAGAGGCAGTGAGGTGTCCAGGATGACTCCCGGGCTGGGAGCCTGAGGGGCTGGGAGGAGAGAGGTGCCCTCAATGGTATGAGGAAGGTAGCAGGCATGGGAGGGTTTAGGGGAAAAGATAATGCCTTCCATTTTGGACACAAGTTTCAGATGTCCACTGGGCATCCAATCTGAGATGACTGAAAGGCAGCTGGGGACTCGAGACTGGAGGTCAGCAGAGGCTGGAGCAGATTAATGTCGCTTGTGGAGTCATGGAGAACAGAAAAGATGCCCCAAGATGGAGAAGGAAAAAGGTTCTGGTTTTCAGAGAGGGGGAGGAATGCAGAATCTACCAGCTAGAAGGATTAGCACAGAGCCTGGCACATGATAGGTACTTAACAAAGGCTTGCTGACTGACTATAGGCTAGTGAGCGGTTTTTAGAATAGGTCACTTACAAGTTCCTTTAGAAAAAGAAGCGGTGATTGAGTTAGCATGGCTTCATCAAGGCTGACTTATTTACTTTCTGAAAAGATTATTGAACTGGCAGACCAAGAAAAGACTGGAGATGGTTTACCTGGACTTTGGCAAAGTATCTGATAAAGCATCTAATCCTATTCTGGTGGGGAGGGGAATGGAGAGATGGGCCCGGCTAATGATTTAATCAGATGGACTCGGAACTGGGTGAACTGGCAAACTTAGAGTCATTAATGGGCAATGTCAATCTGGCAGGAGGTCTACACTAGAGTGCATCAGAGCTCTGACATGTGGTCCTGGGCTATTTAACATTCTGATTAACAACTCTGCTAAAGGCTTTGATATCACACATATCAAATTAATCTGAAGACAGAAAGCTGGAGGAATAGCTTAACAATATCAATCAGGATCCAAAAAGGTTTGGTTTTGGGGTTTGTTTTTTTAGGCAATTGGGGTTAAGTGACTTGCCCAGGGTCACACAGCTAGTAAGTGTCAAGTTTTGGTCTGAGGCTGGATTTGAACTCAGGTCCTCCTGACTCCAGGGCCAGTGCTCTATTCACTACATCACCTAGCTGTCCCTCCAAAAAGGTTTTGAATGACATCAGGCTAACTCTTATAGTCTGAAATTTGGTAGGAATAGTTTTATACTTTGATTCAAAAAATTATCTTCACATGCGTAAGATCATGGCAGTACTGCTGTATGGCAATTTGTCTTAAAAAAAAAAGCTGGTATTTTAAAGTGACTATGATCAATATAAGTCAAAAGAATGATGTAGAAGCCAAGAAAAGCTAACCCAATCTTGGGCTACATTAATGGAGGTTATGTTGTCCAGGAATCAGGAGGCGACACTGCTCAGACCACAGATCACATTTCCATTCTGGAAGTCACCAGAATTTAGGAAGGCCAGTGATTAGCTGGGAATTCCAGAGGAAAGTGATGAGGCTGGTAAATGGCCTAGAGTCCATGAGGACTCCGTGAGAAGCAGCTGGAGGATCTGGGGATGTTTAGCCTTGAGAAGAAAAGACTGGGGGAGGGGAGTCAAGAGGGCGTCTTCAGGGGGCCCAGAAGGCTGGATGGAGAGCAACTCGGCCAACATACCAAGGGGAGAATTTAGGCTTTTGGGGAACAGAGAAGGCTCCTTTTTTTTTTTTTGGTATTCACAGCACCTAGTAGAATTTGATGCACATAGTAGGTATTTAACGTTTGTTAAAGTGCAAAGTGCTTTCCACATCACAATCTTTTAAGGAAGGCATATTGCATGTATACTCCCTTCACAAACAAAGAGACTGAGGTCCACTGAAGTTGTCATTTGCCCATGCTTCAACGTGAAAGAGCAAAGACTTAAACCCAGGCCTTCTAAGTCCAAGTCCACTGTTTAATCCACTTAAAACACACTGCTCCCTCCATCTATAAATGGTGAGAATTAGACCAGGTCATTTTCGTCCCTTACACTGTGTGTCTCTGTGTATGTGTGTGTGTGTGTGTGTGTGTGTGTGTGTTTTTCATACATAACACACACACTCTTAGTAGACTCTAAAATCAATACGAATTCAGAGTGACATGGCAGTCAAAAAAAAAAAAGACAACACTATTGTGTGATGTGTTTATGTAGCCGTATAAATGTATATAATCTAGTTCAATACTCTAAATAACAAAAGAGGACAAATTTTAAACTCTGTGAAAAATCATGTTCTTAATTAAAGCTGGGATGGTTATTTCCGCTTGTTTTTACAGAACTTACGCCCTCTGTCATATAGTGATCCCTAAATTATTTGAATCCAACATCCCTACCACTATGAGGTCTAGCTCCCCTTCCCCACCCTGCAGCCACTTATCTCTTGGATCTAATGCAGGAAGGCAAGGGGATGGTCCGTAGACAGTTCTTTGTTGATAAATGATTACCATGTTCTGACAGAAATGATTTCCACAAAGTTAAAAAGCCCTTTCATGCCAGAGGGAGGCTTTCAAGTAGTTTAGAATTAAAGTGAATAGTGCCAAAAATATTTCCAACACATGGACATACATCACTACAAAGTACATGTTTATAAATATAGCCATTCTGTGCTGGAACTTGATGAGAAATTATCTGGAATGTTTTATAGCTCTGGCACTGAGAAAGTTAAATCTTTCAAGTAAAAAAAACCAAAAACTGTGGATGCACATCTGTTTCCAATATATCCTTGATTATTCTTTGTGAAGAAGGCCAACAATTCTGTTTCTATTTTGGAAAATGTCAAAGAAAACCTACTATAGTAATAATCTTCATTCTGAGAGACTCATGTGGTGCGCACAAACTCAGCGTGATCACAGCTGCTCCCTAATGTGGTCCTACTTTAAGTAGGGAACAGCAATAGCCCTGTCAGCATCTTAAGATGCAAGGCCAAATTCTCTTCACAATACATGGGACAGAGAAATACATCAGAAACTTCAACTGTGTTAACTGGGGATTATTGATGGGGATCATGTTCCCATGTGCATGAGCAGTCGGTGGCCTATGGGCCGTTTCAGTCTGCCCAGAGTCCAAGTGATTGGAAATCACACAAGAAACAAGCTTCTCAGTGCCCTCCCTGCAGACCAGGAGTTATGTGAGTGGAGTCGTGGGGCCTTCTATCCATTCTCATATTCCAATGATCTGAAATTTAGTCAATGTGGGTCTTGGCACCATTTACACACATAAAAACTCTTCTCTAATTTAGCGGAGCATCCTTGAGAGTTGCTAGGGCTGAAAAAGCCATCCCCTCCCAGCCAACCTAGGGATAAGGCTGTTAGGACGTGGTCAGAGGCCTTGGCCCTGGGGCCACACTGGGAGCTTTGCTGCCTGAAGACAGCTGGCTTTGGAGCCTGCCCCAGGCCACATCCAGCCCACAAGATGACCAAGTAGGACCAGAGAAGGCAGGCAGGGAAGTGTCACGTTTAGCCTAGAAATTAATTCTACAGGACTCTAACAGGGGTCATGGTCAGGCAGCACGTAGAGCATACATTTTCACCAAGCGCCAAATGGACCCTGCCATACTTCTCTCAACATCTCTCCACATCCATCATCACTACCAGCCTTCTTTCACAAAATTACATGTACTCAAGTACCAGTCACCAATGTGCCAAAAGGAAACAACATATTTTGTGCTATTCAAGACCAGACACAACTAATTTTTCTAAGTGAAAATCCAGGCAGCCATCATAACAACTATTTCCTCCTTTACCAGATCTCATAAATGAGGACTCAGAATCATGACAGGCAACAGTACGGAGCTGTAATCACTTAGACGTCTCTATGTACAGAAGCAGCCTTCAATATAACGACCTCTGGTGAAACTGGAATGTTGGATAAGCAACAAGGTGAACAAGGCCCGTCTCTTCTGGCTCAGGCAGGTGCCACAACTTCCCTCAAATTCTCTTGAGGGCCAAGCAGGAGCAATGACAGCTGCCCCCGTCACCACCTGCCTTGGGTCTCTCCCCTCTCCAGAGCATCCTCCACTCAGCCACCAAGGAGACTCTCCTAAAGCACGGGGTCGCCAGGTCACTGCCCTATTCAATCAGCATCACACTTCCAGGAGCAGATACCAAATCCTCCATTTGGTGTGACGTCCTTGATCTTACGTCCCACTCAGCCCAATTCTGTCTGTGATGGAGTGACGCTGGCCTCCTCGCTGTTCTCAAACACCACCTCCACTCCCCTACTCCAGGCATTTCCATTGGCCCTCCCCCTGCCTGGAATGTTCTCCTTCACCTCCTCTACCTCCTCACCAAATCCCAGCTAAACTCCCATCTGCTACAAGAAGACTTTTCTCATTAGCCCTTGACACTGGGGCCTTCCCTGGTCGATGATTCCCAATTTATCCTGTTTCTACCTTGTTTGTACCTAAGCTGTCTGCATATCATGTCCCCATTAGACTGTGAGCCTCCTTGAGAGCAGGGCCTGTCTTTGGCCTTTCTTTATATCCCCAGAGCTTAGTACATAGTAGGCGCTTAATAAATGTTTACTGACTGAATGGATATTGAAATTCCTAATATAAGGCAAGGAGTCAGAAGGGAGAGGAATATGGTGAGCTCCGTATGAACTGCTGGAGAAAGGAGGAGTAAAGACCTGGAGACCAGCAGCCAGCTGCCCTGACTGAGACTGGGTGAATCATTTTGATTGAGTGGATTTCCAGGAAGAAGCCATTGATTGCTAAATGGTAAAGGGAGAGGGAAAGTCTGGAAATGCAGCAGGAGCCAGGAATGTTCTGAGCTCCCTCTGGAGACCAGTATGTGGAAGGTCTGCGTGAGAAGCAGCAGCCATGCCAGAGGAGATGCAATGGAGTGGAAGAAAGCCAGGTCTCAGTGAGGGCCAGCAGATGGAAGCTGTGTGAGAGGGTTAGGATGAAGGAAGTTTGTTCCTTATGGAATCAGAATTCCAGAGGGCACAGTGCAGGCAGCAGGCAGGGGGAGGAATGGGACGTGGACAGGGAGGGTTAATGAAGATGGCAATGACCTAAATGGACCTGGGAACTGGGGTTAGTTTTCTTCAAAATGGCTGCTGGTTGACTAATACACAGGCAGAGAAACAGGAAGTGGGACTCTGTTAAACAAAAGAAGAATCGTGGGTGTGATCTGAACAGTAAAGCGTAGTCTCCAAGGGGTGGCACCGAGGGCGCTGGTCTGGACCAGTCTCTGCCTGCAGCTGCAGCTATTCTAACTCTTGGGCAGCTGTAGGTAGGGGAAGGTATGGGTGCAGGGGGAGGGAATGGGCAATGGTCTCCAATGGTAAGTTGGCATACTATAGTCCTTCAAAGACATTATATGCCAGCCAATCTGTATTAGGACCCTTCATCTCTCGCCTCTGTGTATTTTCACATACTGTTCCCCAAGTGTGAAATACACTACACACTGCCCTCCTCATCTCTGCTTCCTGAAAACACTGACTTCCTTCAAGCTTCCATGAACGTATCGTCTCCTGCTGTCTGCCCCGACCGCTCCCAAGCCCCAAACCGTCGGTGATGTCCTTCCTCAAATGCCCTAGGACTATTTATACACACCTATCTGCTGCCCCAGAAGAAGAACGTAAGCTTCCTGAGGGCACAGACTAATTCGTTTTTCTCTTTGGCTCCCGAGGACCTGGCAGAATGCTTTGGCACACGAGGTGCTTCATCAGTATTGCCCGACCCATTCCAGCGACTGCTCCCGAGGCTGAGCCCGGCAGGCCGTGCCCGCAGAGAGCCTCTGTTCAAGCTGGCGCCCCTCATCTCTCTCGGGATCACAGGACCCCACCCTTTTGGGTGAGGCAGCTCAGCGGCCCATCAGAACATCTCAGAGTACGGAAGGGCAAGTTCACATGGACTCACCTCTGAATAAACTCTCTAATGAGGTAGGCAAGGCTGACGACATGGATGAGAGCACAGAACTAGCAGTCAGTCTCCACGCATGAAACAATTCAATTACAGAAACCCAGACCCTGAATTTACAAGCAATAATATAATTGCGGTTCCCAAGTGACTTCAGAGGGCCAAGCATAACTGGATTAGCAAAGAAATGAGGTAACCAGTGCTGGGGCTGCTGCGGCTGCGGCACTTCATTCTGCCGCAGGCTACAGCATCCATTCTCTCTTGAAAATGCATACCTTATAATAAGCAAATATAATAATGATAAAAAAAACTTTTTAAAAACAATTATTTGGATTTGTGCAAAATTAATATGATGGTGTCCATCAACGAACAAGGCCTAACAATTAAAAACAGGCCTATAAGATGGCGGCCCCCACCTGGAATGTCCAAACCACCAGCGAGGGCCGTGCAGCTAGATCAGAAAGCAGATGAGAGTCTGCCTTAGAACACTCCCCCACAGCCCCCGAGCCTCACCTGAGGGCACTTCACACAAGCGGGTCACAGTAGGAAGTCTGGAAAACCTACCCAAGGAATGGCTCCCAAGCAGAGTTGAGGAGACTCGGATGGGGTGGCGTCTGGGGTCTTTCCCTCCCTGCCCCAATGCTCCCCCAAACGCATCTGACCGCCAAGAGGACAACAAGGAGTACATCCTCTTCCAAGTGAGAGGGAAGAGAAAGGGCAGTGACTTCATCCTTTCCAATCACCCTGCCTTGGCAGTGCTAGGTTTATTTCAAGACTATTACTCACCCACAAAAGGATTGTGGAGCAGTCATATTTAGGCTTAAAACAATAAGCATTTTAGCTCTGTCTTGTCATGGGAGCCCAAGTGCCAAGCCGCACGCGGTACTTTACCTGTGAAATCCTGCATCTTTTTATGAAACTAGGCACGAAGCAGTCACCTTCTGGGCAGGCCCCAAAGGTCAGAAGGCCCTCCTTGGTTCAGACCTCAATGCAGAGAACCCCAAGCCTCTCCTTCAATGGATGCGTTCTTCGCGTACTTACCCTCGTAGAAGCTTGAAGAGCATACACCCCAAAGAGAACCAGTCGGCGCTGCTGTCATACGCGGTCCCCTTCTGGAGCACCTCGGGAGCCATGTAGCCATGGGTGCCGCTTTAGGGAAGACAGACAGACACACAGCAGGATCAGCACATGTTACGGCCACAGTAAACTAATCACAGAGAAGCACATTCTCTATTAACTGAAGGTACTTGGGGAAAAAGACAGCACAGAATTAGCGTTTGTGATTTTGGCCATTCCTCCACAGCTAGTTGATAAGGACAAGAAAATGACCACGTAATTGGACACCCGAAGCAAAGGGCCTGCTCTCTGTGGGCGATGAGTAAGCCATCAATAAGTCTTCTCAAACAGTAAATATGAATGCCTCTGTCTCTGCTAAAAAAATACGAATAGAAAACAGGCAGCTGGGTCTAGGGGAGGGAGGGGTCACACATGCAGAAAGAACCACCAAGCACGTGGGTCAGGTCCTGGAGATGCCACCTCAGGTGGCAGGAGGTCAGTGTGCAGAAGAAGGCCACGCGTTCTTGGACCAGCCAGACAGACTCCCCAGAGAGTCGAGGAAAGCCACAGGAGTCAGAAGAGGCAAGAGAGCAGAGAAAGGGGGAGCATGGCTGAGGGCCCCGGGAGCAGCACGAGCAAGGCTGAGAATGAGGAGCGGCCGCAGCAGAGGGGCAGCCCAGGCAGAGGCAGGTAACGAGAGCCAGGGCCAGCAGGCACGCCCACTGATTAAACAAAGGCCATGTCTTCAGAGTGGGGCGGTGCGCAGAAGTGGTGGCGAGGGGCTGCACAACCCACGCCTCCAGCTCAGCAGTCACCAAACGGCATTTCTCTCCTGTCTGTGGGGGGAAGGAGAGGGCTGGGGGGGGGAGCAGCCTGCATGCCCCTCAATACTGCAGCCCATCAGGGGAGGGAGAGGGAAGAGAAAAGGGGAGAAAACGGCCCCCAGGAAGCCCCAGGCCAAATTCTTGAAAGAGTACAAGATGATTCTCCTTCTGTTTTATAAACAACCCTAGACCAGGGTGAGCTGATCTAGAGATGCTCATGGCTCCTTGGCTGATTCCTCATCCTGGCCCTCTCCCCCATCTGACAGCTCCTTCTCAGTCTCTTTTGCTCATTTTTCTTCCACGTCCCTCTTCCTAACTGTGGGTTTTCCTTCTTCGGAGCTCTGTCTCAGGCCCTCTTCTCTTCTCCCTCTACGTTCCCTCTCTCGGTCACCTCAATAGCCACCATCTTGATTTAGGTGACTCCCAGATCAATCTCCCCTAAGCTCCCGTCCTCCATCACCAATTCCCTATTGGATATTTCAAATTCAGCGTCCCAGAGCCTCATCATCTTTCCCCACAAGCCCCTCCCTTTTCCAGACCTCTCCATTTCTGTCAGAGGCACCAGCATACTTCCTATCTCCCCACATTACCCTGGCAGCTTCACTCCTCCTCACCCTCCCATCCCATCGGTTTCCAAATCCAGTCTCTCTACCCGCACACCTCTCACATACAGCTCCCTCCCTCTGCTCACACGGCTGCCATCTGCGTCCAGGGCCTATCTCCCACCCAGAAGGACTGCACTGGCCTACTCTATTGATCTCTCTGTCTCCAGTCCACACTCCGGTCCATCTTGCACACAGCTCCCACCATACCTTTGGATTAATGTTAAACCTAGCCATGACTCCCCTGCTCATCCAATTCTAGTGGGTTCTTATTGTCCCAAGGCTGAAACTTAAACTCCTTTGTTTAGCTTTTAAAATCTTTCAAACCAGCCCCAACCTAGCTTTCCAGCCTCATCAGACCTAACTTCCGTCCCACAGAAAGCTGATCCATTTCCGTGCCCTCGCCCTGGCCATCCCCAGGCTCAGAAGGCCCTCCCTCATCACCCTCTGAAGGCACCTGCGTCCCTTCTCCACCCCTCCTCCCCCTCCCCCACCACCCAGGATTTCACCCTTTCTTGTCCATCTCTGTTCATCTGCTTCATACAGACTCACTCGGTGTTGTTTCACTCCGTGTTGGGCTGCTGACGTTACATGTTTACATCATAACGTCCTTGGATATTCATGTAATTCAACATGTACTCGAGGTTTCCCCTAATGGGACAGAATCTCCCTTGCAGGCCAGAGGCCTTCCTTCTTTGCACTGTTATCCCCAGTGGCCCTCACCAAGTTTGACTGATAGTGTCAATGAGGCAGACAAACAGGATAATGGGTTTTTGTTTTGGTTTGGTTTGGTTTTTCTGGTTTTTTAGGCAATTGGTGTTAAATGACTTGCCCAGGGTCACACAGCTAGTAAATGTCAAGTGTTTGGTCTGAGGCCGGATTTGAACTCAGGTCCTCCTGACTTCAGGGCTGGTACTCTATCTACTGCACCACCTAGCTGCCCCAACCAAATCAGTACCCTTCTTTTTTTTTTCTTTTTTGGCTAGACAATGGGGTTAAGTGACTTGCCCAGGGTCACACAGCTAGTAAGTGTTATGTGTCTGAGGCCGCATTTGAACTCAGATCCTCCTGAATCCAGGGCCTGCGCCACCTAGCTGCCCCCCAGGGTAATGTTTCAAATGGGGCCGACAGGTCAAAGAACACTTGGAGCAAGGACTGGTTTTCTGGAGAAGGAACATTCTGCTTGAGCCTTTCACTGGCTGGTTAATTTAACAAGAGAGCCAAGATGCATCCGGTGGGGAGGAGCTGGCTTGCTAGGGGGCACACCAGGCTTCACGGGCGAGTGAACAGAATGCGAGATGAAACCGAGGACTTTGGCCAGAAAGCGAGTGCCAGGCACACCGGGCTGAGCCTGCTGCTGTTCCTCTGACTGGACCAACCTCAGCACATCTAACAGTCAGCAGGTACCTACTAGAAGAGACGTCATGCACAGAAAACTTGATGGGAGGCAAAGCTTGGGATTGAATCTCAGCTCCATTAACTTAGCACCTACCAACAAGGCCTGTGCCAGTCACTGGGCCTCACTTTTATCACCTACCTTTCAAACGTGGGGACTGGACTGGATTGTGCCTCCAGCTTCTTTAAATATTACAATAATAATCTGTGCTAATTTCTGCACTGTGCAAAGCAAGCGACTGATGTTCAGTCATTTGATACGTCTCTATATGAGCACTGGGATGGCAGAGACACAGCAACCCAAAGGGTTAAATCACATGCATGTGATCTGAAAATTAACTAGGAAGTATTCTGCACTAAAGATTTCCATGGAAAAGGTGAAAAAAAGGGTTCAAGCACTGAACCAGTTTGCCCTCGGCTATCTGGAGAAGCTAACCTAACCTAATGGCAGCTACGTGTCCCAGCGGATGGACTCCTGGACTTGACATCACAAAGACCTGAGTTTGAATCTTGCCTCTGACAGAGAGTTGCTGGGTGACCCTGGGTGAGTCACTTCTCTTCTGTCCCAGGCTCAGTTTCCTTATCTGTCCAATTAGAGGGTTAGGGTCCAGAATGCCTGATCAAGGAGGCCACTGCAAGTGAGGCCCGGCCACTGTAACTTGGTAGAGATGTGTCCAGGCTGTGCTGGGTCACTCAGCCCCGACCACATTTTCTTCAGCTCTGACAGATGATGATGATGATGACGATGATGCTCTCGTTCCCTTCTCCCCCACAGCTGACCGAGTGAGGCTTCAAGCAGGCACGGGTGCTGTAAAGCCCGATGTCTGTAACTGCCTGTGATCAAGCTCTGCATCCTGGTCTACAAGTGAGGGGTGCGGGGAGGGGGGGAGGGGGATTTTTTCCTTACCTTTTTTTAAAATTTAGGCCAGGGGAAGGGAACCTGCAGCCTCAAGGCCACATGCAGCCTCTAGGTCCTCAAGTGCAGCCCTCTGACTGAATCCAAACTTCACAGAACAAATCCCCTCAATAAAAGGATTTGTTCTGGAAAATTCGGACTCAGCCAAAAAGCTGCACCCAAGGACCTAGAAGGCCACATGTGGCCCTCGCTCAGGCAATAGGGCTGCCTAGAAGCCATGGGGCTGGAGGAGGCGAGCTCATCCCTCAGAGGCTCTAATTCTAACGTTCAAACAGGTGTCAGTATTTCCGGGAAAAGAAAACAAGCTCACACGGGCACTCTAATGACCTTGTTTTCTGGGCATACAGTTAATGAGAGATGCTGGTGGCTTACTTCCACCTGCCCCTACCAACTGGGGATCAGCTGCCCATGGGCTGCTCCTCTCTACCTCTGCTATCGTCACCTTGTTTCAGATTTAGTCCATGCTCTGAAAGGAATATTTGACAATGGTGGCCTGGACCAACGAATGAAAAGTCACTTATTTAGGACTTCAGATGGGCAAAGTACGGCAGAACACAACACGAAATGATGTGACCCAAGATGGAGCTTTGAAGCGAGGTCCTGCCATGACTAGTCGTTTTTAATCTGCTCGACTCCCAGGTTTCCTTTTTATTGTCAGGTGTCACTCCGAGAGCAGTTCTTGGTGTTACTGCCCTTCTCCAAGATATCGTCAGAGTTGGCCACAACTCATGAGGCAGGAGCTCTAGGCTGGGGAGCAGAGACACAGTCATGGGACTGGCCTTGCCCAAGGACGGCGTCCAAAGCCTCCTCTCTGTACCCTTGAAAGGTTTCAAAAAAGAGAAACTGACTCCAAGGCAGAGTCATAGCTTAGATTTAAGTCTTCATGGAGAACAAATAAGATGGCTTATTTTAGAATTTTTGTTCAACCATTTTTAAATCGCATCCACTTCTTCATGACCCCATTTGGAGTTTTCTTGGCAAATATAACAATGTAGTAGTTTGCCATTTCTTTCTTCCAGCTCATTTTACAGATTGGGAAACTGAGGCTAACAGGGTTAAGTGATCTGCCCAGGGTCATCCAGCTAAAGTCTAAGGCCAGACTTGAACTCAGGTCTTCCTGACTTCAGACCCGGCACTCTCCCCACTGTGCCCCCTATTTTAGAATAAGGGACTTCATTTGCTCAATATTTTCATTGCCTTGCATGTTATTTTTCAAGTAACTGAGTCACTGGAAATTGCCATTAAATCAAGTCAATCAACTGTTCCTATGTTAAAGGAGCTGTTAGGTTGGGTACAATTGCGTGCTCTTGGGATCAAGAGAGGAAAAGCGGCCACGCTTCTAGAATATTAACCTGCCTTTTAGAAGTCATGTGTATCAAGTCATGAGCAGACTGGTCACTTGAGCTGAATACATTATTTCACCTCTTAGAATCAATCACCTTGGCAGAATCATTAATTCTCTCTGGGCAGTAACGTGATCATAGCCACACCAAACTGGAGAAACTACATCAGAGAACTCTGGCTTCATAAAATACTGTAAAAATGCCGACGTGGCTATCACCCTAGTCTGAGTTCTGCAGAAAGTGAGGGTCCTCATTTATTCAGATTCGGTGAAAGCTTCCAGTCATTCTGATACGGGCACAGCTCCAGGTACGCCCATGAGAGGCCGCAGGCAGAGAACACCCACGTCCCAGCTCTGCCTCAAAGACATGAAGACTTGCTCTGGGCAGTCACTTAAATGCTCCACAGCCAAGGCACCATCGAGGCCTCTGTGGCCGGGTGATACTAACTGGAACTGCTAAGAGGAAGGTTCCTCACTCCCATGGAGAGGACAGACCCAGGAGCGTGCAATCCCCGGCCCCCTGACGCATATACGAAGTTAGATTTTGGAGAGTGACTTAGAGGCCCATTCAACGCATCACAGATGAGCATTCATTCAACTGCCGCGAGGTTAAAAGCATGAAGATGGTAAAAATGTGAAGAAATCTGGGAATGGGCCTGACCCTATGTCCTCCTGGCTCAGAGGCCAGACCTCCACCCACCATGCCATAGGCCTCTCCTAGACAGAAACAGACAGAAATCAGGAAGAAGAAAACAAACCAAGTAGAGAAAAACAGAGCTGGGAGCACCGAGATAGTGAGAATTCAAACGATTTGTTTACTTTAAAAGCCATGCTAAGTGCTACATTACAGCTACCTATTCATAAATATCGTAACCCAGATATTTAAAAAGGAAAGCAACCATGCAGATGATGTAGCAAACATCAGTCTCTCACACAGCTAAACATGGATGCAAGGCCTGGCATCTGGGGGAGGCTCTCTTGTGCAAAGTGCTCCACGGGCAGTATTGCATTTGACATTCACACCACGCCCATCAAGAAGGCACGTCAGCTCTTCTCTCCACTTTCTGAATGAGGACAATGAGGCTAAGTGAGGCTGGATGACTTGATGACCCACCTTCTATACCCCTGGCTACCACCCGCACCGCTCGCTACCACTGTAAGATTCCTAAAGCACAAACGTGACCGTGTCCCTGCCTGAAGCAGAAAGCCCCAAACACAAGCTGCTCTTGGTGGCCTTTTCACAGACTGTCCACCACACGGGATGCTCTCCTTGTTCATCCGCCCCCTGCCTCCCCCGCTCCTGCCAGCAGCCTTTCCCAGGCCCCCTGGATCATCCTGGACTTAGATGCTTTGCTCTAGGAGCCCCCAATTTATCCTGCCTCTGTCTTGTTTGGACGTAATTGCAGGCTGAATGAAAGGAAAAGACATTAAGGACCCAGGATGGGTGAAGCCCCCACTAGCCTCGGAGCCCCCTGAGAGGAGGCATTGTCTTCCGCCTTTCTCTGTGGCACGGGACCAGGCACACAGCAAGCACCTAGTAAGTGCAGCTTGACTGAGCAGCATGCAACGCCTTTCTCAGCCTGCCTCCAAACTCCCATCTTGCCCTATTAGGCATCTGCACTGCAGCCAGCCCGCCTTTTGCCTGCCCCCATGCAGCGTACCATCCACTTTGCCCACCGCTCACTCGAGGCCCAGGATGCTCCTGGTTCTCCCTTCCACCCCTCAGAATCCTCTCCTGATCCCTCAACGGCCAATGTCTCCTACTGAGATCGGGGCCTATTTTGTGCGTGCTCTGCATATACTTCTATGTGCATATGTTGTCGCCTCGGCAAAGGGTAAGCTCTTTGAGGGCAAGAATTGCTTCTCATCTGTATCCCTAGCGAGTGCCCTGATGCCTGGCACATAGATGGTGCTTAAAGATGCCTGAGGACCAGTGAACTAAACTGCCCAAGGTTGCACAGCTAGTCAATGTCCTAGTCAGAACCTGCACCCAAGCCTTGTGGACTCCAAGGCCATCACTCTGCCCAGGGTCCCACACTGTCTCATGAATGCCAACCCCCATAACTGACATTCATGCTGTACATCTCTCATCTCACTGAAGTCTCTCAAACACCCTGAAAAGGAGGTAATGTGGGCACACATACACACATATGCACACGTGATTTGTGACGCACGTGTAAATGTGCACATGTGCACACATACATATATGTATGCAGATTCCTGTGTGTTTACAGGGACTTCCCTGATCCCAGAGAAATCTAAATACGTCACAAATCACTCTACAAGCCTACTTTCCAGCACACAGAGTCCTCATAGTCAAACTTTAGTTTGAAAGAGGGAGCCAGCTCGCAGCAACATGGCACCATCCCCCTAGAGGCCAGAACAAACAGGTGCTCTACCATCAGACAAAACGGTGATGCCAGGCTGTGCACACACACACAGGACAGAGGTCTGAACAAAGCAAGCAGCTTCCCTTCTTTCCCAATTAAAAACAGCACATTGGCTTTAGGAAGGTAGAATTTGCCAAAGACTGAAATGGCCTGTGGATCAGGGCTCTCCATATTTATGCCCTTTAATTTTATTTTGGGAAAGTTCTCAGAAGAAAGAGAAAACACCACGGAGATCCAGTAAAATTCCATGCTAAGTCACGTATCTCCTCTGTGCAGCCAGATGCAGCAATGCTGGGTTGTGCTCCCCGTGCACGGTGATGCTGAACATGCTGAGGCGACAGAGAGCCTTGACTCTGAGCGTGGGCCCTCCCTTCACCAATGCACACTACCACCAAGCCAGGCACAAGCAATGACAGAGTCAGCGAGCCTCTGGGGAGCAGCCTTTCGGCGCCAGGCACTAGACTCGGGCACACGCGCTTTTCTGAACTAGTATGACTTAAAAAAACTTCCCTTGGTGGCCTGAGATCTGGGGAGGAGCTTAACTGAGCAGGGTCTGGGAAGGCAGGCCGGCACCCAGTCAGTCCATCCCCAGACTCATCTTCAAAGCCTTCTGAGTTTTAGTAAAACATATTTCTCTTAAATACAAAACAGAACCTATAATAATAATAATAATGATAATAACTCTACCTTGAGGTAGGGTTACACAGCATTTGAAAAATTATATAATGTCACAAGTAAAAAGTCGGTAAAAAAAGTAGGTATTTGAAATTCCATAGTAGAAAAGCACGATCCGTCATTAATGAGAGAGCAGATGAGTCTGTAATACTTACACACTAGCATGTGGTTTCTTTTTGGAAAAATCGCAGGCAAGCCCAAGATCTGATATCCTCACATGTCCATATTCATCCAAAAGGATATTGGCAGGCTAGATGTAAACACAGAAAGCAACACTTATACACCCTCGCCGGCCGGGGGCACCACGGCACTGTCAGACTTGGCAGCCCCCAGGCCTCCCTCAGAACTCAAAGCTCTCTAGAAAGGATTAAGGCAACAACCCCTCCTGCCCATCAGAAAGGAGCCCTCCTGCCTCAGCTCTCATACATGAAGAGAAATGCAGAGAGAGGGCCAACATTTAGGGGGTACGTCAAATTCTGCAAAGGGCTTCCTGTACATTCCGTGGGGCCTGAGCCCCACAAAACCAGGTGGGGAATGGAAAAGAGGCACGAATTTATTCCCATTTTCCGGATGAGGGGCTCAAGGAGGTCCAGTGACCTGTTTATGGTCACAAAGCTAATAGATACTGGAGGGAGGCTGCAAACGCAGTGAGGGCAGGCAGCCTATCTTACTGACGGTTCTATCTGCCTCAGTGGATCATAGGTGCTTCACCACAATCTACATGTCTGTTGAAATTAATTCAGAAGAAAAAGGGGCACCTGAGGGAAAGGTAGAGCCTCTTGAAAAAGCCAAGCCATCTGGCTCATCACTTAGGTTCCTCTGGCAGGCACAGAGTAATGGGTAGCAGCCAGAAGACCCAAAGTGCTCTGCCACTTACAAACTGTGACCTAGAAGAGATCACTGACCTGCTTTGAGCCTCAGTTTCCTCTTCTGTAAAATAAGGGGACTCGACTACATGATCTATAAGGTCCCTGCTAGTTCTAAATCATTCCATCATTTTTTTTATAGGGTTTCATCAGACTTGGGGAAAAAAAAGACTAGACAGAGAATGTTCAACTCTTGAGGGTCAATAAACATGCTCTTCTTCACCCATAATACAGGGAAGGACTCCTGAGAGGCATTTTACAAATGGCACCTTACAAATGTTAAAGAAACACAATTTCATGGCAAAGGACCCCAGAGTGTGCCCTTGTTCTAAACTAAGCCCAATATGCTGGGTTAGCAGCCATTTGTCCATCCATCTTCAGCTGAATCACTGGAACAAACAGTCAAGCAGAACGCAGACTACCTTCCTGGCGAAAAAGGAGCCCACAAACATCAAATTAGATCATAATTAATGAAGGAAAATCAACTATCTCTTTCCTCCATAAAGAATTACAGCTGGGCTGAGGAGCTGCCAGGGATCAGCTACTGTTTCACATGCCATAAGAATAATACTATATGATTATAAAAAATGGGGCATGAATAATTCTTAGTAGTTAGAACAAAATTTGAATACAAATTGATTAATTCACAGTCCTTCTAAAAAAATCTTCAAAATCAAAAAAGTAAAATATGTCTACTCAATACCGGTTAGGAATTTCAATGAGAAAAACGGACTCTTTGGAGTAAGAAGGGACTGCTCAGAGGTCTAGTATAAGCCCCTTCTTTGAGGGATGAGAAAATAGAGGTTCAGAAAGTAGCAATCCTTAGCCCAAAGTTATACACAGAGTGCAGAGTGCCCGGCAGCTGCAGCCTCCCAAGCAATGGCTCTGGCCGTGCAGCACACCTATGTGCTCCTCACTTAGCGTCCATTCTGCTTGGCAATGACACATTTGAACGAAGTGCATCTGCTGCCACTGGGAAGTTCTCTCTAGAACATCACCATCGACAAGCATGTCCAGGCTTGGTTACTGGCAAGGAGGACCCCCAAGGCCATCTCAGCCCTGGTGAGTCTGACTAGTGCTGCTGGGGCAGAGACGCTGGGGCATGGAGAAGACTCAGCATCAAACTCCAAACATCTTTTTCTGTCCTGTACGAAGCCACTTAAGCTGGCCAAGTAAATGAAATCAGTGTTTTTAAACGATTACCTTCAAATCTCTGTAAACCACAAAACGGTTGTGCATGTGCTCTAAGCCCAGGATGATTTCGGCAGCATAGAACTTCATTTCCTTTTCAGAAAACACCCCGTGCTGTGAGAGGTGATAGTGCAAATCTCCCCCTAAAATCAGAGGCAGAATTTCACTCAAAGGGCTTGGATTTAGAGGAAGTACAAACAGCCACCAGCCTGATTGGTCCTTGTCACCATAAGAAAACCCAACGCAGAGCCAATCTGTGACTTCTAAGTATGAGAAGCGTCCACTTCCAAAGAACATCCACCAATCAACCAGGAAGCATGCCTTGACTACATGCAGGCACCGTGCAGTGGGGATACAGAAACAAAAAGGAAACAGCCCCTGCCCTTTGGGAGCTCCACCTGGGGGAAGAGCGTGGACAGACGTGAGTCTAGATGAAACGTACACCAAATCAATACGAGGTCACTGGGAGGGCAGACACTAACTAGTCCATGGGCCCTCCTGGAGGAGGGGGCAGTTGAGCTGAGCTCTGAAAGAAGGCAGAGATTCTGAGACAGGGGACCAAAAAGTCCTCTCAGACCTGAGGGACGTCCCATACAAAAGCATGGAAATGGGAAGTGAAAACCCCACTGTAGACTGGAGGGGTCCATTCAGAGATGCAAAGAGAGGGTTAAAACAAGAAAATCATCCTTATCAAGGACACTGAGAAAAACTGAAGTCAGCCCTCATGTAAACTAAATAACAAACCAGATTTACCATTAGACTGATAGTGGAATAAATGCTATCATCATATGGCTGACTCAATTCTACTGCTTTGGTTATTTCAGTCTATTTATTTTAATAACTAAATCAGATTACATGGCAATCCAATTAATTGTTATGGTAGATGACAAAAATCAACTAATATTATCTCACATTATAGAGATATCAATCAGGTTTAAGAACAAGAAAGCCCATATATACAACAAAATCATAAATCTGATTGATTTATAGGAATTAACATGTGTTAATTTTGGTGACTTTATTCTACAAATTACTTTTCTTCCCCACTCTCTTTTCATAGCAAGGCATACATTTTTTATTTTGAAAAATCTAGTCACTTCTCCAACTGACTCATTAAAACAAATCCCAATTTCTTCCACTGGTTTCAGGCCCCACCTCCCTCTTCTCAATCCCTGGCGGGTGAAATCTCTAGCTGAAATTGAGCTCGTGGTCACGCAACACTCCACTGTCTGATCATCTCTGATGTCCACAGCTGACCGCGCTCCTTCTTTGCTTACAGCTCCCCTTTGTTCTATTTGACTTCTGCGCACTTACCAAACTGCCCTTGCCCTGTGGCGTGTGCTCCTTTTCCCTTCCCCCTCCTCCAAATTCAAAGCCTTGATGCAAGTTGTAGGGAGCTTTACATCTCTGTATCCCCAAGGCTTCACATATCTTATGCCCAAAGGATGTTTGGTGAATTGAATAGTCCAAAAATAAAAAACTATTAACATACACAGGCTGTTTGGGTTCACCATATTTTTTGCTGAGGTGGAAACGTTCTTTATGGGATATCCTTTCTTTCTAGGCTGTCTGATGAGTTGGATCAGTAAACCAAATGGTTTTTCGGTCATCTCTGTCTCATGGATTTCATTCCAAGTCATTCAATGACCATTCTCAGCCCCACTGATATGGGGAGTATGAGATGAGCAGGGGAAATCTTAACTGACAAGAGAAAACACTCTAGGAAGTGGGTTTTCAATAATTTCTCATATTAGCTGGGTTTTTCTGGTTATTTATCTTTTGAGCCGAATGCCAAGGACAAAATCTAATTGATGTTTTCACTTAAGTGGATTCATATTCATCTGTGTTTTATCAGGTATAATTTTATAAAAATTATTTCCAAATGTTCACTTATTGGGATGGGGAAAGGAGTGCAGAGAAAATTTTAAAATGCGTTATTTTATCTAAAATTCAGAGTATTAAGGCAGTACGGAATAGTGGAGAGCGTACTGGACTTGGAATCAGGAATACCTGGGTTCAAATGTCACCTCAGATACTTACTAGCTGTGTGACCTTGGGCAAGTCGCTTAACCTGTTTGTCTCAGTTTCCCCATTTGTAAAATAAGCTGGTTGGACTTAATGACTGCTAAGTTCCCTGCCAGCTATGAAGCTATGGTCCTTCTAGCTATAATCCTATGAGTCAGAATTCTGTGGTTGTTGCTGTTCTGAATATTGCCTTTCTCCTGGTACTCTTCGAACCTATCCCATTATTCCTCAGTTTCCCGTTTTGGCACACGTCACACCCCCAAGCATATTAGCTCCCATGGCTATTAACTGTCATGTCCATGCAGGTGACTCTTAGATGTAAATCCAGCCCTGGCCTCTCCCTTGGGCTTCAGTCCCATGTCACTATTTGCCTAGTGGACATCACAGACTGGACATCCCATAGACACCTCACACTCCTCACGTCCAAAACTGAACACATTTTCTTTCCCCCTCAAAACCTTCCCTTTCCAAACTCCCCTCTTACTTCCCAGGGCACCACCATCCTTCCAGGCTCCCAGGTTGGTAACCTGACCCCTGACTTCTCACCCCAACTTGGAAGAGTTGCCAAACCATGCTGTTTCTACCTTCACAGCACCTCTCATATCTGACTCCTCCTTTCCACTCACAATTACCGCCTTAGTTCAGTCCTCCACCACCTCTCAACTGTTTTATTTCAACAGCCTCCTAGCTGGTCTCCCTGCCTGAAGTTTTTCCCTATGCCAGCCCATTCTCCACACAGCTGCCAAAGGAATTTTTCCTGAAGTACAGATCTGACCACATCACTTCCCAATTCAATCAGCCCCAGTGGCTTCCTGTTGCCTCTAGAATCAAATACAAAGTCTTCAATCTGGCTCTTAAAGACATGTACAATCTGGCTCCGACTTCTTGACAATGGCAGTGGGTACTACTTCCCTTTCCACACCCATCTTCTTTCTGCTCCTCAGACACAATTCTCCATTTCCCACCGCTGTGCCTTTGTACCTGGTCATCCCCAAGTCTGGAGCGCTCTCGCTCCTTCCCTCTGCCTCAGAGAGTCCCTCTCTTCCTTCCAGAAGCGGCCCAAGCTCCACCTTCTATATGAAGCCTTTGCTGCTAGTGCCCGCCCTCCCAAATCACCTTGTATTTAAAGCGTCCTACATATTGGTATTGATTCACTTCACACCGGCACTGTCTGTTTTTATATGTCCCGCTCTCCTCCGTGAAGAACATAAGCTCCTCTTGGGCAGGGAGCGTCTGACTTTTTGTACTTGTATCCCCAGTGCCAAGCACAATAATGAAGGCACCCTGCTGCACCCAAAGAGCCCAAAGTACACAAGAAGTTCCAGGTCCCAGATCCCAGGGCCCTGCCACACCCACCCCTCCAGCCTTGCTTACCATTCATCAAGTCGAGGATGAAGCACAGCTTGTCAGGGGTATGGAAGGCATAGGTCATACACACAATGAAAGGGCAATCCTAAAGGGTTCAAAATAAGCCAGAGGATTAGCAAGAGGAAAGCAAAAGAAAGCCAGAAGAACAAACTTGTGGAAGAAAATACCTAAATGCCTCTTGTGCTACCACTCTTCATCCGGCATAAAGGATTTTTACATGCCATAATCCCAGGAGCTCATGAGAGCTTTCCTCCTGTTCTGGTGTAGGGCGCCGAGGGCCCGAGATCTGCCTCAGGACACACAGCCAAGAACAATCAGAGGCAGGACTAGAACCCAAGTCTTCTGCCTGCAAAGCTGTTGTTCCCGCTTTTGCCTGACTGCCCCCATTATACATGATTTATGCCCTACCAAGGGAGCACGAAGAACTATGAGTGGAAACTTTGAAAAGCTCTAGCTTTTCTCTTAAAGTTTGAAAAACAGAGGCAAATCCACTCTATACCTTCCAAAAAAAATATACACACACACAACTAAAACTCTATAGAAAAAAAATTTCACATCGATTTAAGCCCGTCACCTGAGCCCAGCCAATATTCTCTGGAGGGTCTACCTAACAGGTGTAGACCATCTCCCGGCTGGTCTTGTTTTGTTGGTGGTGTTTCTTTTTTTAATACATTATGGGCACCAGTGCCAAAAGGCTGGGCATTGCCAATTTCTCTTTGCCGTTCCAGTTACTGGAATGACTATCCACTATTTTTTAGTATCTCCTAATATTAAGGCTTAGAATTACTACACAGGGGACGATACCATTGGCATCGCTCTTATTTTGAAATACTAAGGGTAATGATAGAATTAAAACATCATTTGATAAGTGGATCACATGAGTTGTAAACCAGGGCCCAGGCACATATGTCAAGATGAGGCACTGAAGGGGAAAATATCAATTACCAAAAAATTGATTAGGAATATTTTAGTCTTGGATGCTTAAAAATAAAAGCATTCACAAATCACGGGATTGAGAGCTGAAGAGGAGCTTAGAGCTCAGCTAGTCCAATACTTCCATTTAACAGAAAGGAACACTGACTGAGGTCTAGAGAGAGGAAGTGACATTCACAGTCACACAAGTAAAACATCGCAGAGTCAAGATTTGAACATGGTCTGCCATCTCCCAATCTGCAAGCTGAATGCCAAAAGTGGGCTGAATGACAGCTCATTCAGAAACAGAGACATACATTTTGGGTGTAACGAATCCCCCCACTGCTACTATGAATGCTACATCTGCTGTGTATTCAAATGTAACTAGGTTCCACTGAATCATTTACATCATAAGATTAGAAGGATGCTACTTTAATTTTACAAGATGTTAATATTAAAGATATTAAAAACAGTAAGTTGATGCGGCACTAATTATTTAAGTGGAAAAGTTAAATGAACATAAGAAAACAAAGACATGATATAAAGCACTCCTGGTGCTCTTCCTACCAAAATCCTATTATATTTTTTTACATAGATTTACGCCTGTTCCAATTGTCTAGTTCCATAGAATGTGAGCTCCTTAAGAGAGAATATTTCATTTTGTCTTTATAAATCCAGTGCCTAGAATAGCACTTGGCACCAACTAGGTGCTAAATAAATGCTTTTGGATTGGTTCATTAAACAAACATATTTGGGCTTAGAAGAATTCAAGTACTCGCTCTTTTTTTTTTAAGTAGGAGGATAAAAATTTGTCAGTTTCAAAGATAAGTGTCTATACCTTGGAAGAGGAGAAAGAGGAGACAATTGTATTTGGGCAGAATAGCACAGTTCTCTAACCCTTTTCACATTCTCTTATCTCGGTTGTTGTGTGTGGGGTAAGCATCACTACTCCCATCTAATAGATGAGGCACCTCTAGCCTCACCTTTAAGACTAAATGATAAACTGTATTCACAGACACATGAAAAAATGCTCCAAATCACTCCTAATAAGAGAAATGGAGAACACAACCACCCTGAGGTTCTACCTCATATCCTACAAATAGGCAAAAATGACACCAGTCCATGTTGGAGGGGCCATGGAAGGATAGGCACACTGAGACATTGTTGGTGGAGCCCACTGCAGAAGGCAATTTGGAATTATACATATAAAGTGACTAAAATGTCCACACCCTTTGTCCCAGAGACTCCACTACTGTACTTACACCTCAAGGAAGCCACTGATAAGAATAAAGTCCCCATATACTCCAAAATATTTACAGTAGCGCTTTTCATGATAGCTAAGAATTAGAATCAAAGTAAATGCCCATTGACTGAGGAATAGCTAAACTAATTGCAGTATATGTAGTGGAATATTACTGTGCTGTGTTGGGCAGCTAGGTGGTACAATGGATAGAGCACCAGGCCTAGGGTCAGAAAGACCTGAGTTGAAATCCAGCCTCAGACACTTATTAGCTATGTGACCCTGGGCAAGTCACTTAACCTTATTTGCCTCAGTTTCCTCATCTGAAGATGAGCTGGAGAAGGAAATGGCAAACCACTCCAGTATCTTTGCCAAGAAAACCCCAACTGGGTTCACAAGAGTTGGACAACACTAAAATGACTGACTGAGTAATAACACCACAAGAAATGATGTGTGTGGTGAATATGGAGAAGCCTGGAAAGATCTGTATGAACTGATATAAAGCGAATTCATCAGAGCCAAGGAAACAACATACACAGTGATGACAACAATGTAAATGGAATGAACAATCTGGTGTAGCAATATTATAAAGATCCAAAAGGACCTCAGTGAAGAGACAGGGGAAGGCACCCTCAACCTCTCCCTCCATGGACGTGGGGTTCCATGGGTACCACACTTTGCATGCGTTTTCAGACTTTCTTAATGTATCAATCAGTTGTGCTGATTTTTTTCCTATCTAAAAAATACTATTTATCATCTGGGATGGATCCCTAGGCACGGGAAGGGGAGGAATACTTAGGCTAACTATGTTGAAACAGAAAATACCAACAAAAACTTACTAAAAAAAAAAAAGACTAAATGATCTACTCAAAGTCAAAGAGCAAGGAGAGGGCAGAAAGAATCACGCCTTGAACAAAGCCTATTCTTCTGACTTCCTGCCCAGGGATCATTAGTTTAAAAGTTGAAGTAAAGCCTTAGGAAGGAAAGTGGACCCTAAGACAGTGTCAAGAGGCCTGGCCAGGGAGCCTGATCCCTGGTGCTAGATGCATGACCGGAGAAGAGTCCCTTCATCGCACTGGGCAGGGGCAGCCAAAGGGACTTCTGGCTCTACCTCTGGGAGGTCCACCTCAATTGATGCTTTCAGAATAAGTATTCTAGATCAAGGTACGTTACGCTACTCTCCCTGTTCTTAATGTGACCTATGCCTTTAACTTGCTAGCAGAATGTTTCACCTATTAAAATATCTTTAGATCATTTACATATTGCTTCTAATCATTTTAGGTAGGTTGATGGTACAAAGGAAAACTTGAGCCCCAGCATTTTGATTAGAGCTATCAAAATAACAAAGGCACATTTATAATTTCAAAGCAAAAACTATTTTAGAGAGATATGGTTATAATTTCCCCTACAATTTCCTTTGCTCAAACAGTGGCTAAAACATTGTTTTCATTTATGTATTTATTTTTCAAGCACTTATTATCTCTCCTTCCCACTGTCCTATTCCCACTGAATAATTAAAAAAAAAGGTAACCCTCCAAATAAACATTCAGTGTCTCATAAAACAAATGCAGTTCTGACAGCAAACTGATGGCAAGCTTCCATTTCATTTTATTAAAGACATGAGGAAAAAGAGGGCTGTTCCCAGTAGGTCTCGTAGAATAATAAAGCAAATCCCCCAAAGGTCACATACAAACACTTAGTTAAATTCAAATCATTGTGCTTAGCCTGATCTCACATCTCCCCCCGAGGAATCTGGCAGAAAAATATAAACTTCAATTACCACAAAAATCTTATAGAAAAATTTGGAAAAGAAAGGACCCAACTTTCTAGGTCATTTTAGGCTACATAAAGAAAATGCCTGTTTCACGGGCAACAAGGATATTACTGATTACCAATTACTCAATTACATTCAGATTTTTCTTCTGAACAACTCTCAAAGGTCCACTGTCTATGGTCATGATTGGACAGAAGAAAAGGAGGAGAAAAGAGGGACCATCTTGGCTCTATCAGCAGAAGGGGAAATGATTACACTACAGAGTATTGGGCTCAAATTTTATGTTTGGGTTTTTTTGTTTGTTTGTTTAAGCAATTGGAGTTAAGTGACTTGCCCAGGGTCACACAGATAGTAAGTGTCAATGTGTGGTCTGAGGCCAGATTTGAACTCAGGTCCTCCTGACTTCAGGGCCAGTACTCTATCCACTGCACCATCTAGCTGCCCCCTTGGGCTCAAATTTTAACAGAGTGACCGTGAGCAGCATTTACATTCTGCCAGCCACGGAGTGATCCTGTACCCACAGGGTCCACTCAACTTCAAATTAATTCCTACAAATCTTGTCTCACCCATATATGTAGAAAATGATTATATTTTGTATATTTCCCATAAGAAAAATAAAGTTTGGCTGTGATTGGATGTTTATTTTAAGCTACTTCACCACAAAGAGAGATAGGGACTGGACCTGTCATCGTACTGGCATCAGAACTGCTGAGAGAGTTGCCCACAGCAGGGAAAGGTGACGTCACTTGTCTCAGATCACACAGAGAGGGTGTTAGAGACAGGACTGGAATCCAGGTCTTCTGGCTCCAGGCCAGCTCTCTGCTCACTGTGGGATGCTGTCTCTCTTCTCCTTAAATACTGGATGAAGGAATGTTCTTTGGGTCTTTGCAATGGGGGAGGGGGTGATGCACAACAGATCATGGCTCTGATGTTCTCAAGAGCCCTGCTGCCACTTAAGCTTAGACGCCCCTGCTGAGTTCCACCTTTGATAGACCTTTCTCATGGTTCCAGTCTCACCACTCCACAGGCTGGAGAAGAGGATGTGTGTGTGTCTGAAAAGTGAGCATCACATAGGGGGCAAGGAAGGGGCATGACAGGTGTGAGCAGGCTTACAGGAATGCTCAAGAGTTAAGGAATTAACACACATTTATTAAGTACCTACTGTGTGCTAAGCACCGAGGAAAAAATGGCTAATACAAGTAAAAGTGCTATATAAATGGTAGTTATTATTCCTGAGGACACAAAGGCGCAAAATAAGCAATTGTCCTCATTTGTAAGTAGCTTACAGAGTATGGGGAGGATGAGATGCCTCTAGCAGAGGTTCATAATCTGAGGTCTGTGAACCTGTTCTGAGAGGGAAGTCTGGCCTTGACAAGACAGCCAGCGGGGGCCAGGACATGGCTACATACAGGGAGAAAATGCTTCTGAAAAGCATTCGGACAGTAGAACTTCAAAGCACTTTCTTTTTTATGATGAGCAAACGTGCACGAGCATATTTCAATAAACAAAGAACAAAACAGGGAATCACATACGAAGCTGCTACCATTGTTCCATACGGTTCTGGAGGTGTCTGCAATATTAAATAGAACGGAAATAAAACGGCCCTGCCTGCCAGGGTCCCTCTCTGACCTCTTTTCTTCTCTCTTCTGAATTCATTCCTCTATTCTTCCCCTGGCTCTGTTCTTTACTTTATCTAGACTCCAGAACCACCTCTTCTCTCCTTCTGGCTCATGCTGGAACTTCCCTAAGCCTGGGGGCCCTCCTTGCACTAGAACGTCTACCACCCTCTGGCCCCCTCCCCACGGACTATCCCTCCACGGAGCCCAAGGCCCTTCTCCTACTGGCAGGTTCCTCTTGAGCCTCCATTTTGTGGAGGGACCAAGCAGGCCTGCCTGCCCTCCTGCCTCTCCCGCTCTGGCCCCAACTTCCTCAGGACTTCAGAACTCTGTGCCCGTGCTGGGCAGCATCACTCCTTTGCCCCACTCTTCAGCTCCCTCTTCTATGCTGTCTTCCCCCATTCAAATGTAAGTTTCTTGAGGGCACAGACAGTCTTTCTTTTGGCCTGCACAGGGTAAGTGCTTAATCCATCCATCCATCCATCTTTCCTTCATTCCTTCCTTCCTTCTTGTGCATTTCTAGGGTTTCATTGATTTCCTTATGTTTCTCCTTTATTTCATCACTCCCACCTCCCACCACCCAGCCATGTGAACTTGAGAAAGTGTCTTATAGGCGGTGAAGTTTCCTTCTATATAAAATGGAGATAATAAAAACTGCATAGCCTCCCTCTACCCAGGGCAGTTGAGAGGAAAGCATTTGGTGAACTTTAAAGTGCTAAGAAAAACCGCGCATTACTGTTATTTCAGGCACCCCACTCTATGGTGCCCTTTCTACATGAGATGGCACTCAATATAGACTCCAGAGTCGGCTGTTCAGCCGTGCCTTGGTGCAGAAAGACAATGTGCCATCAGAGGGACAGTAATGGTTTGATCTCACTTCACACATCACCATGCCCCCAGCATCCTTTCTGAGAGTGTTTTTGAGCCCATGCTAATCTAAGAGTCCACCCAAGAAAGAGAAGCTGGACTGGAGATCTTGGGTGAGAGCTAGCCCTGGCCAGCAAATCAAAGGTGTTGGGCCTGGAATCGGGGAAACCTGGGTGCACCTCCAACTAACTCTATGAGCATTCATTAAGTGCTCACCAATTGACATCCGGACAGAAGTCAAACATTCTGTTCCCTCAAGGAGCTAACCATCTAATGGGGTTGGGAGAAATGCTGTGTACCTGAAAAAGTAAAATGAAATACATACAAAGCAGATACCACCAAAATGGAGCGAGAAGCAGAACTAACACCTTGGGGCACCAGAAAAGATCTCTTCTAGGAGCCAGCACCAGTGCGAAGCCTCGAAGAGCCAGGGGCTCCATGAGGCAGAGACAGTCCTTACCTCCAATAATTATCCAGCTGGGTAATTAGAGGCAAATCTAAACCTCTCCAAGTGAGAGTTTTCTCATCTGTAAAACAAGTATAAAGTACCTGCAGAAACTATTTCACATGGCTGTAAGGGTTAGAAGAGACAGTGTAGACAAGGAGTGATGGTGTTATTCTAACCAAAACTTCTCACCTCAAACTAGGAAGATGGGATGTAAAATTTGGGAAGAAGACAGAAAAGGTCATTTTAATCACTATCCAACTTATTTCTGCAATGGCTGGCTGTGCCAAAACACAGCTTTTTAGTGACATCACTAAGGAGGAGATCATAGGCCCAAATTTACATTTTGGGAATTCATTCGTAGAAAACTTCAGGGATGTGGTCCAGAATTCCTAAAACATCCTCTTGGATTTCTTTCCTTGTCAAGTGCACCTCACTCCCACCAAAATCAAGCCCAGCCTCATGTAAATTTCAAGTGCCCATAAAGACATGCTGCTCCTGGGACCTTCCTAAACACCTAAAACTGTTGCTGCTGTTGTCGTCGTGGTTAAGGAAGCAGACTCCTCTCCAAGGACAGACTGCTGAACTGGTGATAACAACCAAAGGCTTTCAGAACCTACTTGAGTCACAGGTGAAAAGACATAATGTAATACAATCACCTAATTCTCTGTACTGTACACTACATTCGTTGGAAGAACAACAGAATGAAGGGTATTCTGTTATGTTGCTCTGGATAAAGCAAATTTAGAATCAGAATTCTGACCAATTAGGTTGACCCCAAATACTGAATAAAACATATTACATATTTTTGTATTTGCCAGACTTCTGACACCCTCAGCCACACAGAGGAGAGTCTTCAAACTGGGAAATAAATATTTCCCCGACCCCAACCTCCCCAACCTCCCTCAAAGCCAAGAGCGGCTAGAAACAGATGTCTTGATCTGTTACACACAGGAGGAATAGCATCGCCCATCAGGCCAGATGCTACCCATTCATCATTCAGTGTAAAAACAAGGTGCCTAATTTAACCAGCAGCATATGAACGGCACTGTGCATAGAGAGGTGGCCTCCAGTCGGGCAGACTCAGGCTCCAATTCTCCCCTGACATGTATTATGTGACCCTGGGCAAGTGTCCTAGGCGACTCCATATGACTCTAAGTTGAAGAAGAGATGCCAATGTGCGTGGCCAAGGGGGGTGTCCTCCCCAAGGAGGTCCCCACGAGGATGACCTTTCAGATCTGGACAAAAACAAAACAAAATAAAAACAACCAAGCTTGGCTTAGCTGCTCCCTATCGATAACAGTCAATTCACAAAGGTGATAAAGGATTCAGAGCCACGGGGGCTGGTGATTCTGCCAGGCAGAAGTAAAAAGCCCCAGTATAACAAGTAGAGGAGGCTCAGGTCGCTAAGTGTAGGGGTCAAAACAGCCCCAGGGGCCTGACGGTGCTGAGGGGAGATTACTATAACAGAAAAAGAGCTGGTGTTTGCAATCATGGTTTGAGTTAATAACCAAAAACGTGTCGTTTGTTTACAAAGACAGGACTTGGTAATTTAAAATTTTTTTTCCCCCACCAAAAGTAGTCCACATTCAAACAGTGTTTGTGCTTATACAGATTTTTCACTAATCTAGAAAATTCCTTCGGTTAAAATGTTTCATTCTCCAGTGCTTTAAAAGGCCAATTTTATGACAAGTGTCATATTGGTTAACATGTTATTACTATTAACAATAATAATAATGGCTAACCAGCTAAATCACACATTATTGCAATGCAATAATCTGAAGCCATCATCGTCTACATCTCACAATGAAGGGCACAGGCAGGAAGCGACCATTTCATGTTTAAAAGCACGTACTCACCCCTGTACTGACAAGGGACAGCATGATTCTCTCATTTAAGGCCAACGTCTCTCCTTGTTTCATCTTGATCCTCTTTTTATCCAAGCATTTCATTGCGTACCTAGAAACACAAACAGCACTGAATAACCGGGAGAGCCAAGCTCTCTCTCGACAAGCTGAACACAAGGCTAAGTTTGGCTTGATGACGGCAACTGAGTGCTACAAGCACAAATCCTTTTTTGTCTTTATTATATTAAGGAAATATTTTACTCATGAAACACATTAACTAATTTTGAGAGTAAAGATTTTTCTACTCTACATGGCTAAGTATCCCTAGTTGATGCAACAGAAAAGAGGACTTAGTTGGGAACCACAACCACAAGGCCTAGGCTGCAACAAGCCTTCCATCAATACCTGTCGATGAATATCACACAAACGTAAGTATCAGTATTAGCGTCATTACAACATTATTTCTTGTCTCCCCTATCAGACCACAGTAACAAGGGCAGGGACTGAGACGAATCTAAACTTGACTGTCTCTCTCATTATTAAACACCATCCTCCACACACGAGAGATCCTTAATAAGGGTTTATGGAATGCAAAAATGGATGACCTTGGAAAGGAGAGAACTCGGGAGGAACTTCTTTTTTGTACTTGGGTGATCGATCTACAGATTTGCCTTGCCCCCCTTTTTCTAGACAGTAAAGTCCCGGGGGCAGGCAGGGCCTGTGTCATAACAAATTTTATTTTTAGCACCCTTAATGCTTTATACACAGGAGTTATACAGTAGGAGGAACTGAGAAAGCTAAGTATTTAAAGGAAGGAAATCCTTTGGAAAAACAAAGCCTCCATTTCTAATGGGTGCCCCAATTGGAAAGTATCAATTTCCCCTTACTCCCGGGGAAACACTTTAGAATAACTTTATTAGTAGTGACCCAGCCTTCTTAGAGTCACATGGGAGGGGCCTGGACTCTCCCAAAGATTTGGACTGACAGAGAGCCAGCCAGCATTTCCAGGAGTATGGCCCCTCCCTCTGTTCATGCAGATTCCCAACCCTCTAGGACTTGGTCGATGGCATGAAAGGTCTATCAGTTCTCCGAAGCAGCCCCACCAACAGGCCTACAATCTGTCCCTGGGCTCATACTCAAAGCCTTTCAAGCTCAGGAGGCCTGGCTTGGCCGGCACTGACTGGCCTTGATAACCCCAGGTTACTTATATCCAGCGATGAGACACGGGAGGATTTCCGGGAGGTCCAGTGAAAACACTTGGGCAAAAATACTAATTTATAATGCAATGAAATTCCTTAGAAGTGAGAGGCTAGAGTTGGACAGTCCTCCTTTACAGACCTCATATGCTACTGAGTGTTGGAACTCAATATTTCCACTGAAGCCATTTGAGGAGCTTACATTTTTCCAGTGTCAGCTTTTCTGCAACCATATACTTCACCAAATCCTCCTCGGCCGATAATCCTATGTACACTGAAATCATTCATGGTCAACTGTGAATTCAAAAATAACAGGCATTTCATTTCACTTCATTTTTTTCCCCAAGCTCTCACACAGATTCAGACTATCGTGAGTGGTCGCTCGCTCCGGCGGAGGGGGCTTCCGTCAGCCTCGCCGATTCCCAAGTCCAAGGATGGAGAGACCTCCACATACTCCCCCTTCCTTTGCCTCTTCCAAAGTAATGAAGCACAAGGAAAGGAGAAGCAAATGTGAAGACCACACAGTGCGAGGTCACGGGAGCCCGGCTCGGGGGTCACAGGCCCAGAAGAAGGAGTGACGTGCCCAGGCCCCCAGAGGAAGGAAGGCCTCATGGGTGATGCTCAGGGACCATCCTAGTCGTTCGCTTGGATTTCTGTCTGGAGGCTAGATAGCAAGGAGGTCACAGCAGCCAATATGCCCGGGGATATCTATACCAGCTCTAGAGGGGGGCTTCGTTAAAGCAGCCCCCGAGGTCCAGGGCTGAGCCTGTGCACAGCCACAGGGGAGAGACAAAGCGCCTGCCTGGGACCCAAACAGTGGTGTGACTTTTCCGGCCCCGGCACAAGGCGGGGTATGAGAAAGCGCCGGTGCTTAATCCGGGCTTGTAGAAGCAAATTCTAAATACAAGACAAGGTACCCAGTCAAAGGAAGTGGCTCTTGTACAAGCCCATGAGATTAGCTTGTTTTCTCCTAAGTGGGATGGGGGCTGGAAAACTGAACCCTGTACAATACTGCACAGGAGCCGAGGCACCCAGGGAGGCAGGGAGCTGGCAGTCGGCAGCCAGCAGGGCAGGCGCTTTGTCCAAACCATCAGGGTCCCCCTCCTGGCAGCAAGGGCACAGAGAGGAGAGGTCTGCTAGCCATTCTCAGTCAAGGACGAGGGTGAGGCCTGCTCTCACGCACTCTCACCTTGGCTCTGTCACAAGCGCAAGTAAAGGGGAGGATACAGGGGGAGAGCAGAGGAGCCAACTCTGTGCCCTTTCCCAGAAGAAAGAGAAACAGACCTGAAAGGGCTGACATTGAAAACAAACAGAAGACGCAGACGTGAGCTAAGCCTGTCGGTCAGCAGCACTCATAAAGGCACCACTAGGGGCCAGCCTCAGAGTCGGCCCTCAAGGAGCTTCCCTTACAACAGAGGAAATTAGCCCACACAAGAGGGCTGACCACAGGGCTGGGGTGGGAAGAACAGCAGAGACTGAGCTGTGTTTCCCTTTCTAATCAAATCTTTGCATTCTAGGAAATATTCAGATGACTCAGGCAATACAACACTATGAGGCTGCTTAAGGATACATTGTCATATTTTGTGAAACAGTCTCCTTCCCAAGATAAGTTGGTCTTGTTCAAGGAAGGAAAAGCAATGGAGCATTATCAGAATTTCATATGATAGACAGAGAAAGAGGGACAAGGGAGGAAGGGAGAAAAGGAAGGCGAGAGACATGATCACACAATTACTTACATGGATATTTAGCTCAACATTTTTCCACTGACAATATCTAGTGAACTTGTCACTAAAAAAGAATGAAGTTAAAGTAATTATTGGAAAGTTACATTTCTCATCATTTAACTTATTTACTTCCTAAATTCACAGAGCAACTTTAAAAAATAAGGAACCCTAAGACAAGGCAAAATTGCTGTCGTATTTGGTGTTCAGCATGCCTGCCCCACTCACAGGCCACTAACCAGGGCAGAAGCGCCCCATCTTTCAACACCTTTGCCAATGTGCTTGAAGCCTCAGAGTCGTTTTGAGATGTAGTTCTCTTTCTCTTAGTAATTTAGTACATTCTTTCATGTAACTGTTAATAGTTTGCAATTCTTATAAGAACTATTTGCTTCCGTATCTCGACCACTCCTCCATCTCCTGGGGAGTGGTGTTGGTTGTAGATATTTGTTAGTTGCCAAACCTATATCAGAATTACTTTTTTCCCCTACTTGACCTCTTCCCTTTGCACCCTACTTGCACTGGTTTTATTCATGAAAAAAAACTTTTCAAGTTCATGTAACTGTAATCACTTCTACCCTTGGGGCAGCTAGACGGCACCATAGTACAGAAAGCACCGCGGGCCTGCAGTCTGGAAGACCTGAGTTCAAATGCAGTCTCAGACACTTACTAGCTATAGGACTCTGAGCAAATCACTTCACCTCGGTCTGCCTCAGTTTCCTCAGTTGTGAAATGGGGATAATAATAGCACCTACTTCCTGACTGCTGTGAGTATCTAATGAGTAATAATTGTAAAGCATTTAGCACAGTGCTCGGCACATGGGTGTCCTATAAATGTTAGCTATTATTATTGTTGTTGTTATTTATTCCTTCATTTGATTAAGAAAATTTCCCTTCTGGCCATTCATCAATCAATAAACATTTTTGATAAAAAAAAATATTGATTAAAAATAATGAAAGATACTAGATCTGGTTCTCATCTAAACTTTTTAGGTATGACCTTTAATACTTCAGTACACTTTGAGTTTCCTCCTGAATATGGCCTAAGGTATTTGGTCTAAACCCAGATTCTATAAGACTGCCTCCTACTTCTGTCAAGAATTCTAGGTAACAAAAGAGTTCTTTGAGCGCATACTCAGCATTTATGGGGGATGGGATTCTTTTTGGTTCTCTCTTGTCTAGTGTGATAAGCTGTGATGCTTACAGCTTTGTTATATCTTTGGAGATCTACAAGGACTATTCTCTCTTCTCTCCTACTTGTTTTTCATTGCTTTCTTAGACATCAGTTTCTAAATATGGAAATTTTCTCAACATTTTTTCCATGTTTTGTCTTAATCTAGTTTTATTTTGTGACCTGAATCACAACGTTTTCTGAGTTTCTTCTTTTGATGATCATTTGCTACAGTAACAAAAATGATCTAAACGAACGAAGACACACTGGCAGGATAAAAATAACACTTGACTAGAAATCACATACTCAAATAGCTAATATTGCACCAAAATTGTCCACATATAATTTGGCTTAATAAATCAGTTTCCTCATCTATACAATTAAAATAATAACACCCTTTCTTATCTACCTATTTCATCAGAATTTTCTACTGGGCCAGTTTTGGGAAAGGGGTAAATAAGACTTTGTTTTAATGATATATAAATAAAAAGGGCTCTACATCAGAAGCTCCCTCTTGGGAGAAGGGGAGCCCACAGGGTTTTGCCTGGGGCACCAAATTTAAGGAGCCAACGATAGCACTTGACAGGAATAACTGAGTTTAACCATAAGCAAGGACAATGACACTAGGACAGTACCAGATTATGGGCTTTCCTGCTCCCTCCCGTGACCTCTCTGGTTGTGTTATTGCCAGAGTCTCCATGGGCTACGTCCATGGCTGTCTACCTCTCTGCATAGGGGAGAGTGTTCCAAAGTGTGAGGTATGACCATTGTCCTTCCTTAACTGAATTAAAGTATTAAAATTAAAATTAGGTCTTAAAGAAATGATTTGAGGGCATCTTTCCTGCTGTTTACCAAAGGGTCAGAACTGCTATTCAAGGCTATGTCCTTACTAGACGGTAAGCTCCTTGGGAACAGAAATGCCAGCTTAGCTATCTTTGTATCCCCTACAACAAAGCCCACTGTTTACTGAATGAATGCTTATCATACACATATAACTACTAGGCAAGAACCAACATGGTCTGGCAATGGGGAAAAAAGGATGATAACTCTCTTCAAGTATCTAAAGGTCCAGCATATACACTAGACTGGTTCTGGTTGGCCCAGAGGGTAGTACCGGCAGAAACGGTACAACTCAGAAAAAGTCATATTTCAGCCTGATTTTGAGGGGAAGGCATCCTACCAACTCCAGCTGTCCACCAGTGGGATGCATCACCTGGAAAAGTGGAAGGTTTCCTCCTATTTGTGGGCCAAAGAATCTAAAGCCAGAAGGAAGCTCAAAGGTCACTCAGTGCAGTCCCTTCATTCTGGAGTTGAGGAAGCTGAAACCCAGGGAGGGGAAGTGAGTTGCACAAGGTCAGACTACCTGTCAGAGGCAGGACTGAACCCAGACCCTCACACTCCAGACCCAGTGATAAGACTCTGAGATTTCAGGCAGCTCTCCACAGTCAGGTTTCTGATACTACTCAGAATAATTCTACCACATGATGGAAGGAATAATTTTGCAGTAAATGGTATTAATAACATCTCTTGAAATTATACAGAATTGCAGAACAAATTAACATTCCTTTGTATCTGTGACCACATGGGGAATAGAGATGTAGTAATAGATTCATGTGTACATGGTGTTAAAAGGTTTGAAAAGACCTTTGCTCACAACAGCCTCATTTGGCAGTACGAGGATTGGGCCTTTTGGAAGGATGAAGAAAGTGGGGCTCACACAGGGTGAGGCGCCTGTCCCGATCAGAGAGTCAGTGTTAGAAGACAGGAAACTGTACCCATCTCTTCTGACTAACGACTGAACACTGGTAATGCATTGGACACAGTTATTGTGTGACTTTCATGTGCACAGATTGCAGAGAAAGGGATATTTCCTGAGAATACATCTTTAGTTCTGGTCACTGGGGGGAGCAAAGATCTTTCCCCAATAAATGAAGAGCTCACATCATTTAGAAACTGGAAGAATCTACCAGATCAACCATCTCATAGACACAGTCAAAGAGCAATGTGAGATTTCAAAGTAATAGACAGCATCTTAGCAGGAGCAGCAAAAAGTAAATCTACTGGTCAGGTATTCATCTATTTGACAAACATCTGAGTGCCTACAAAGGGATGAGACGCTGGGTTAAGTACTAGCTGTTAATCGTATCAAGATTCTGAAAAGGCATAGACTTGTGTCCTGGAATTCTAATAACCACAGTGTCATTTAAGGATTAGGAGACCAATCTGACACCTTAAATTAAGTCTAGTGAAGGAAAATCTAAAAGGTCAGATAATTTATGGGGTCATATTTGGATTACAAAATTGATTCCCCCTCTGGCTTTTTTTTCAAGCATTAACCCCCTTTGCTGGTCCTTTAAAATGTTAGACAGATTAACTACTTCACAGAGAGGAGGGGACAGTAACCACTTACACACTTAACACAATTAAAGTCTTGAGAATTAGATCAACTGTCTCTAACATTACAATGCTAATCAATGAGGAAGCTGGATTCAATTTCACACAAATTTTAGAAATACAAATATTGCATAAACTGAGGTACAGCTTCATAGAACAGCACTTCATATTCATCTTTTCATACCTTTCAATATATTTTTGAAATATGTTGCCCCGAAGACTATCGCAAATTTCTTCTATGTATGGCTGAAAAGGATCAAAAAAAGAAATTCCACACAATGTAAATTGAAATATACTAAAGTGACCACATATGGCGAGGCCAATGATAACACTGACCTGTAACACTAACCCTGAGATTAAAGTCTGAAACCCAACACACATATACATATATTCATATATGCATATACACATATAGCTAATGCTTGAATTTCCATTGATTTGATGAGAATCATAAAAAATTTCATCTGGAAGGGGATCTTCGGTACCTTCTAATCCACTTAGCTCATATGACAGATGAGATAACAAAGAGGCTTCACACAGGATCATAATGGTACTAGAACCTAGAACATAAGGGCCTAGAACCCTAGTCTCCTGGCTTCCACTCTTGTACCCCTGCAACTACACTGACAACAGTCTGGGCCCTCTCACTATCCTGGCCAGTTTATTATAAATAAAACCAGCAGACACATATGAAATGGTTTTTTTTTTTCTCCCATGTGCTGGTTTTACATCTACTATCTTATTATAAATGCAAAGTGAAAACTCTAATTCTTGCCAACATGTTCTCAGAACCACTCTACTCCACAATGTAGTCATTAAATATAGGGAGAGTCTGACCTGGGACTTTAGGGAAAGTGGGTGCTGTATGCAAAGGCATTGAGGGAGGTCCAAGCAGTCCCGGCCCAAGAGTAGTAGTAGCCTGTGTGGACGATGTGTCAGTTACAGAGAACGTGACAGCGTGTCAGAGTCAGAGCAGAACCCCCTTCTACACTACTCAGCTTTTGCTCAAAGACCATCACACCCAAGACAGCCTATTCTCCCTCTGGAATTAGGAGGTGTCCAAGTTGGAAGGAATGTGAAGGGTCATCTAGTATAATCTGATGGATGAGGAGCCTGAGCCCCAGAAAGGACCAAGCCAGGGCAGCTTCACAGCTAGTGAGAGAGGAGCTTTTGGGCCTCCTCATCCAGTGCTCTCACCCAAAAGATGCACGAAGGAAGCAGAAATCTCTAAACCAGAGACTCTTCACCTGTGTCAAAGAACTTTTTTTTATAATATCTTAGTAACTGTATTTGGATATCATCGGTTTCCTTTGTAATCCTGTATTTTGTGTATTAAGAAACATGATTCTGAAAAGGGGTCCATGTCTTCCCCAGACTTTCAAAAGGGGACACAACACAAAACGTTAAGAACCCCCACTCTAAACAATCTCCTAACAGTGTCTTTAATATCCAACTCAACCTGGCCTTCTAAACTTGAGCCAACCAGAAAGCCAAGGAGACATCTCTGGGTGTTCAGCTGATTCTTTTAAGAAATCAAAGACCAGCTGGTGCACTGGATAGAGCAATGGGCTTGAAATCACAAAGACTCATCTTCCTGGGTTCAAATCCGACCTCACTAGCTGTGTGACCCTAAGCAAATCACTTAACCCTATTTGCCTCAATTTTCTCATGTGTACAATGAGCTGGAGTAGGAAATGGTCAACCACTCCTGTATCTTTTCCAAGAAAACCCCAAATGAGGTCACAAAGAGTCAGACATGACTGAAATGACTGAACAACAAAGTCTAGAGTCATCAGTGATCCTTAACGACCCCTCAAAAGCCAGAAGTGCACCTCCATTTCTGCCCCGATGAGCCCAGGGACATGCGTCCACTTGGCACAGCCACGATGTCAGATTCTCAGCTCACTGTTCATCAAACAGCCACAGCACTAACAAAGCTGAGCAACATCAGGACATCATGGGCGAGCCTTCCTCTCTCCCTTAACCAGCGGACAGGGACATCAAGCCAAGGAACCTCATCTGTGGGGAAACAACTGGTTTCATTTTTCGTGGGACAAATCTACCCAACTGTAGCCAGAATCTTCCAAAGTGTAACCGGCTCCTACTCTATGCACACGTTAAATCCTGAGAGAACAGCAAGTGGGATCATCTGCTTGTCATCTCTCACTTGGCTGACTGACCTTTCCCCCTCGTCCCAGGATGCTCCTTACTGGGACATGATACAAGACACCATCAGCCTCGGTACCTCTCCACCTCCTCAGCACCCTCTGTCCCCTGGCTGGCGGGTGGGGCCAGCATCTCCAAAACTCCCCTTAAGGAGGGAGCCCATTTAGGACAGCTCCTCATTTCTCATCTGGCTGCGCTACTCCTGGGTTGATGGTGGACTTTTCCACCCTTCCCACCCACCCCCACCCACACTATTTATTCTCCTTTTGTGTGCTGTCTTCCACCATTAAAATGTAAGCTCCTTGAGGGTGAGGACTATTTTTTTTCACATTGTATCCACAGCACTTAACACAGTGCCTAGCACATGTAAGTGCCTAATAAATGTTTGCTGACAGACTGCCTGATACAAACCCCGGTGGAGAAATGCCTGAAGCATTTCCTCACATAAGACACCCATCTAAAGTCAGTGAGGACCTAAAAATGATCAGCACATTAAGGTTTGTTGGTGACGATGTGGGAGAAGATACATATGTGTCACACTAAGCCAACCAGTAACAGAATGAGAAGTGGAGTAAAGCCACTTATTAGCATTCGTGAAGACAACAAAGTTGATTTCAATTCAGTCCTCCCCCAATGAAGTCCAACTAGTTTATGCGTCTAGACAAAGCCCCGAAGTGTTAATCTTCTTGGGCTAGAAAAACAAAGACAAAGCTGGTCCCAACCCCTACCAACATAAAAAACCAAATGAGCACCTTTTGTATTATTGTAGGGAACCACCATTATTAAGTTCATCCTGAAAATAAAAATAGGATGTCAGAAGGGGAGAAGGCCCTGAAACAACTCACCTCACCCAGTAAAGGTCATCACTGATCCCAGGCAAGGCCGTGGGCATCTGTTTAGCTTTCCCACTCAAAAGAGTCACAATATGACTTAATGAGAGTCTCTCATAAACCTTTTTTTTTCATAATTCACAGAAACCACAAAGGGCCCCTTATTCAATTGAGAATGTTGACTATCTACCATTGTACTTTCTATGGAAAATACACAGATGGAAAAGGCTTGGGCAGAGAGAAATTCTTAGCACTAAAGATCAGCACACACACAATGATTTCTAATTCCAAATCTGGCCTTCCCCAAATCATCACTTTCTTTAGTAGTGCCCTCATGTTCACGAGGATAATGGTAATTCAAACCAAGGCTCCCTCGACAAAACTCAAAGAACAGACACAGAGCTGGGACAGACTCACGTCCTCCACAGTACAATATTCTTGAAAAACAATCTTACTTCAATCAAGCCATGGTGTTTAATGCAAATTTCAACAGCAACCAGCCATCCAGTAAGGCAGAGGGGAGGTCACAACAGTTCAGATCAGAAAAAGACTTATTTGACGCTCTGGTAGGAAGTGACCTAATGACCTAAGCCACAGCTCTCAAGGCAAACAACAACAAAAAGCGTGACCAAGATACCCCAAGGAAACTGACCCTTGCTCTCTGAACTGCCGATGCATCTTCTTTTTTGAAACAGAATTTGACTAGAAAAATTTTTATAAAGTTCTCTGGCCAGGGTAGCACATCTTGACTATTTTATTTTTAAAAAGCAAAGAAATCTACATTGGAGAAAATTCTCTGTTTGTAATCTTGGCTGTTACATCATACTTGGGTTGGAAGACAGCTCAATACGCTGAGACATCTCCCTTTCAGGGATGCATACCAGGGCCTCTGCACCTGCCATGAGCTACAGAGGGGCAACCCGGTGGTGAAGAGCTTGATTATGCCAATCAAGGCACATGCACAGACTGACACTGGGCACATACCAGGAAACTTTCCAGCTTAGGGGGAGAAACCAGAAGGTGCCTGTACTCTGCTACAGCCATAACAACCCAAGTCCACGTCCAAGCCAGGATGACACATCAGAGGGTGACATTAGAGGAAGAATTTAAAATTAACTGATTTTAAAGTAATTTTTGTTACCTGATGAAATCTAGTTAGAGTTGTCAGTTCCTCTGGCAAATACAGGCAAAGACCTTTTCTAGGCTGATACAAATTAAGGACATTTATCCTAAAAAGGTTCAATCTTACCTGGAAAAGATTTGAGGGCACTTTTTTCTTGGCTAGATGAGTTTGTACATGCTCTACAGCTTGCTTTGAGAATACCTTTTAAAAAAATTAAGAACAATGATTTTTTTTCACACCAAAATGAAAAACAATTCTTTGCAACAGACTGCTTTACAATTATAGATAATTAAGAATTTCAACCCTTGTAGAATCTCTTCTATCAAAGGTGATCCAAAATGCTCCACTCTGCCACTTGGGGCAGCTTTCTTTGGTAATTCCTACACAAGCACTTGCGGGACAGCAGGTGCCCCTTGGTACTCGTGGCCTAACAAGACCCTCTGATTAACAGGCTGGTGCCAGGAAGGCTCATGTGCACTGGCAGAAATCTAAGCCAATCAACATTTATCAAATGCCTACTATGTGCCAGTGATAACAGTAGTTGGCCCACACTGAGAAGCGCTATCATCACCATTTAGCATCCTCCTATCCTTAGGAAAATACTGCAGGTCCCTGAAGTCCTGAAGAACTGGAAAATTCACTAAGACTTTGGGGATACTCCAGACATTCAAATCTCTCATTCCTGTAACTGAACATCCAAAACAGAGAAGTGGGGAAAAGGAGGCTTTCCCAACAAACCAATAAAAATATCCACATTTAAAAAAACCACTAGATAAGAAAAGCATTTTGCAATGCACCTTGGTATTCAAAGCTGAGAACACACAACCTAGACAGAAAGGAAAATAAACCACAGGTCAGGCAAGGAAAAGGCCCAGCAATGGGACAGCTTTCTTCCAGATCTAAAATCCAATGGCTCCAATACTCTGCAGGTGTGACTGGTTCCACACCTAGCCACACACCTCTACTTTAGGGATGAAGACTGAAAAGGTGAAGGCATCCAGCTAATTTAGAGCCACAGGAGGTTTCCTGAGTGCCTGTGTTCTTTCCATCCTGCATGCTGAACTCTATTAACACCTCTTATTAACTTCAGCTCTCTTCGAAGGATAGTTTTTCCTCTTAAAAACGAGGGAAGGAGATATCTCTTGAGATTCTACAGCAATAGCAATGTACCTCATGAAGGCAGGTGCAGACACCTCACAAGCCGAGTCCAAGCGCATCCCTGATGGGCTCAAATCCATGACACGGAAACATCTAGCCTCTCCTAACTACCATCTAAGTGGTTCGTCCACTGAATTAAGTAGCACAATGTTGTTGCTGTCCACCCTTTGTTCACAAAGGGGACCAAAATGGCATCCAGATGTTGGGGTCAAGGTACAGTGTCTCAGCCTGACTGATCAGACCAATGGGAGCTCAGAAGGCTCTAGGCATAGACAGGCCAACTGAATTAGTTTGCACATTTCACGTTTCCTTTGTGCTACTGCAATTCTGCTTTGCTTACAGAGCACAGCACCTTCTTTGATGTGGACACACAATGCTAAGTGGTCCTATTCCAGCATCACCCATGTCTTACAATCAATACTGAAGTTCTTCAGAGAGACTTTGAGAGTGTCCTTGTGCCACTTCTTCTGATCACCTTGTGAGCACTTGCCTTGTTTTAGGTAAACATATATTTGGCATTCAGACAACAAGGCCAGCCCCTTGGAGTTGTGCTCTCTGCAGAAGAGTTTGAATGCTTAGCAGTTCAGCTTGAGAAAGGATCTCAGCGAGTGATACCTTATCTTGCCAGGTGACCTTCAGAATCTTCCCAAGACAATTCAAATGGAAGCAATTCCATTTCCTGGCATGGCACTGGTAAACTGTCTAGGTTTCCCAGGCATACAACAATGAGGTCAGCACAATGGCTCTGTAGACCTTCAGTTTGGTAGGCAGCCGAATCCCTCTCCTCTCCCACACTTTTATTTGGAGCCTCCCAAACACTGAGCTAACTCTGATAATATGTGCATCAACCTCATCATCTACGTGGACATGCCTGGAAAGTCTACTGCCAAGGTAAGGTAACTTATCCATAGCATTCAAAACTTCTCCATTTGCTGTAACCAATGGCTCTGTGTATGGATGATGTGATGCTGGCTGGTGCAGAACCTCTGTTTTTTTGGTGTTGATCATCAGGCCAAAATTAGCGCAAGTAGCAGAGAACTGATCCATACTCTGTTGCATCTCAGCCTCAAAGGCTGCTTGAGTGCACAATCATCTGCAAACCAAGCCAAGCACCAACTCTCTCTTCACTTTAGTCTTGGCTTGTAGCCTTTTCAAGTTAAACAGTTTGCCATCAGTGCAGTAGCTGACCTTGATACCATTTTCATCCTCACTGAAGGTATCTGACATTACTGAAAACACCATCATGTTAAAAAGCATGGGAGCAAACACAAAGCCCTGATTCACCCCACTGGTGACTGGGAAAACATGAGAGCATCTCCGTTATCCAGAACACATGCAAGCATGCCATCACGGAACTGATGTCCAATACTGATGAACTTCTTTAGGCAAATTTCAACCTGATCTTCCACAAGCCCTCATGACTGGTTAGGGTGATGAACATTGTATACAGACCTCTGTCCTGCTCCTGGAATTTGTCCTGGAGCTGTTGGGCAGCAAACATCATGTTAACTGTTATTCAACCCTTTCTGAAACCACACTGGCTCTTGGATGGATAACCATCTTCCAGGTGAAGGATAAGCCAATTAAGGAGGATTCTGGCAAGAATCTTGCCAGCAATGACTAAGAGAGAGACACCTCCCCACACCTTGTGATTGTCACAGGACAACCTGTATCCTTTTCCTTTGCAGAGATGGACAATGGAGGCACCCTTCAACTCCTAGGTGATAACCTCCTCTTGTCATATAACCTGGAAGATTGCAGGAGGCTGATGTATGAGCAGTGGACCTCCCACTTCATAGATCTCTGCTGGGATGGAATCAGCACCAGACACTTTGCCACACGAGAGGAGCCTAATGGCATTCAATACCTCTTCTTTAGTTGGAAGTTTGGCTAGAGAGAGATTGACTTCACCCTAAGGGTACAGTAAATGGTTTCTGCACTGGTTGATGACGGTCTGTTGTAAACACTGTGGAAATCTCAGCCTGCCTCTCCAGGATCACGTCCCTATCCCTGATCAGTGTTGCTCTATCAGTGCTCAGTGGTTGAGATGTATCAGAGGTTTCTGGCCCATAAATAATAATAGCTATTCTAACAACCATCTAAGTGTTCAACCACTTATCTAAGTGGTTCAATAACCACCCAGTGGTTCAACAATCCTCCAACAGGTTGCTCATGAAATTCGCCGGGAAACTAGAAAATAAAGAAACAGTTCCATAAGAAATGCCACCTTTATCTGCTTCTATTCAAATCTCCATAAATCCCATTGTCCATGAGCATAAAGCATTAAAGTGTACTCGAAAACCAAACTACAATAAAACCATCTTCATGCAACAAAGGCGGTTTCCCTAGGAATGAAATTCTTCCAAATCATGGGCGGATTAAATTATATCACCATCATTTAAGTGCTAAGTGACTCCTCCGAGAATGCTTTTAATGCTGTGACACTATACCCTGAAGCATCACTGCTTAAACATTCAAATGTGACCAAGCAAACAGCAGCTTTGCTGGACTTGGTTTCTGTAGGTACAAAATTAAGCTTGATGGAAGAAGGGTTAGAAATCTCTGGCTTCACTCACAGCTCCAAAATTTACTAGCTGTTCAACTTAGTCAAGGAACAAGAAAATCTCGAGGTTCATTAGAATTAGAACTAGCAGGACCTGAGAGATGACCACATCCTGACTTCCTCATTTTACACAGAAGAAAATTGAGGCCCAAAGGATACTTTTCCAGGGTCATCCAAATAGTAAATGGCAAGGCCCAGATGCCAATTCAATCTTCCAATGCTAAGCATCAGGTTCTTCCCACCACACCACACTACCTCCGAGAACCAGCTCTGTCCTTTGGAAAACATAAATACTGAGGACTAAACTATATACTTTCACAAGGTCATTGTGGGGGAAGTGCTTTGGAAGTTTTAAAGTGATAAAGAAATATGAGTCATTACTGTTACCTATTGAAAGTGGCTTTAATGATGCTTACCTTCCTGAAAACAATAAGACTATTTCCTTGGATTAACCACTTTAAATACACAATTGATTATAACTGTCATTATCAATTCATCAAGGACAGTCTCTAAGACTGGCTGACTGGCCTTACCCTCAAAATCCATTTTCAAACAGTAAAGTCACATTTCTTCAAATGAGCATAAAATTTCAGTTTCATTGATTCAGATGAGTCTTCTCTCCAGTTAGTTCAAACTAATAAGGGTTTCTTTTGAATTTTTTTTTCCAGAGGAAATGATTAATTTCTGAAAGTGGCACTGATGCTAACTATAGAACAGAAATTGCAACAGGAAACAAGGAAGGGTAGAGCACCTCTCCTTCTTAATCCTCTGTTTACCACTGCACTTACACAATATGGAAACTTTTTAAAGAATCTTGTTCCAAAGGAAAACATTCATTAGTGCTAGGATTATCCAGCAGCCACATTACAAAAGGGAAATACTCACATGGGAAGAAGACAGAAGCTCCTTCATTATGAATGTGTCGTAAATCTGCCGGCTCCTCCGGAGACGCTCTTCTTCAGAATCAAGCTTTTCGTATTCTTTGATCTATATGTTAAAAAGTGCTCTGGATCAGTTAGGCTGTTGCTATATCATTATATTACTTAGCTGACGGGGCTCATTAGTCACCATAGTGAAAGCCACTTCCACAGGAGGGAAAATAGCACCTTCCACAGAACACCGTCACTGCTAAGCATACAATGCTGACATTCTACAATGTGAATTCATCTGCAAGATAGATTTGTATTTTCTATAATAATCAGTATCAATTAAATAGATAAACACAAGGCTAGGCATTAAAGAGGCTCACTGGTACAATGACTTTGCAGCGTAATACCTGCAGCTGTCATTCATCCCTACTAATTCCTTTATCCTATTAGTTGAAATTTTAAAGTTGACCATAATTAAATAGGGATAGAGCACTGGACCTGGAGTCAGGAAGCCTTGGGTTCAAATCGAGTCTCAGATACGTACTAGCTATGTGACCTTGGGAAAGTCCCTGCCTCAGTTTCCTCATGTGTCAAATGGGCATAATAATAGCACCTACCTCCCAGGGTTGTTGTGAAGATCAAACAAGTTCATATCTGTAAAGCACTCTGCAAAACTTAAAGTGTTATGTAAATGCTGACGTTACTCAGTTATGGCACTATAAAAGCAAATCCAATGAAGGAAGAAAAAAAAATATCAACTAAATTCCCATCCAAAGTTCTGAAAAGGACCCACAAGTCTCAACAAGGGCTTCTATGGAGCCACAGCAACACAATGCCAAGCCAACTTTTGGAAAGCAATGACTCACCCCACATGGGCAGCTTCTCAAAGTGAGAGGGTCACTGGTCTCAACTACAAGAAATGCTGCCTCTCCAACTATTCTACATGGAAAGGAGATTTCTAGATAGTCTCCTGACTCACTAAATAATTAAGTACAGTTGGGAAATAAGTGGCTTACACAGAAATGATCTCTATCCTCTCCCCTTGTTGGACAAGCAAAGAGTAGATGAATGGAGATCTGAGGAACTGTTAACATGAAGAGTAAGAATTGCAGATTAATCAAAGAATAATGGGAAGACACAAGGTGGCAGGAGAAGGCAAGACGAAGTATGCGCCACTGCTGCCAGTGATGGACGAGGATCTGAGTGTAAGCAGATGGGCAGGGAGGGGGGAAGTAACAGTCGTATGGGACAAACAGGGACACCCAGATGGACAGCACGGTGGCCACCGCACTGGTGCCACCAGAACTTTGAGGAAGGCTTCCAACATTTTGGATCAATCCCTTTTAGGGGATTTATGGAAGGCAATCACGGTATGGCAATAATCACACCAATGAGAAAGAGTAAATGAGTTTAAGAGTATTCAAAATATCAAAGGCATCTTAAAATTACTGGGCACCAAAGAAAACCAGTGGCTAATAGGAAGACTATAACAATGAATGACCAACAATTCTAAAGTAGTATAAAACATTCAGTCACGAACTATTAAATGAGTGGAACAACTGGAAAGAAAAACATGCTGTAGGTATTTCTGCTTTGGAGTTTATTTAACAATAAGGTAGAGTGTGCTTATTACCATGATACAAAGGCTCTGACGGTTATTACAATGAGTGACAAAACTCCCTAGCACCTTTAAGAGAAAATGTATTAATTTTAGAAACTTATGAGGAACAAAACTATTGTGTAAAGCCAAGAATGCCTACATAATGACATGCTATAAAGTGGGGAAAGAACCAATCTGCTAAACAATTACTCAAGGTTTATTTCTGGCCCTATAATAAAAGTACATTTTGTAAGTCATCATCAGCCTTCATAAAAGAGAAAACAGGCTCAACGTCTGGGAGGTGGCACGCTGTTCTCTTTTCAGCTAGGAAAGTTAAATGAGCCTCCTCATAGGCAAGCAACCTCAGAGTCAACACATAGCTAAATCATGCAGCCAGCTGCATGAATTTATTTAAGGAAAACTAAAACGGTGAACATAAAACAAACTAATAACAATAACTAACATTTACATAGCACCTCCCCAAGCACGGTGCTCAGCTCATGTGATCCTCCCAACGACCCTGAGGTGCTCTTATTATCTCCATTTTACAGCTGGGGAAACAGAGGCAAACAGAGATGGACTGACTTGCACAGTTAGTAAATGCCTGAGGCTGGATTTGAAACCCAGGTCTTCCTGACGAAGACCAGAGCTCTGTTCACTGTGCTACACAAGTAATGAAATTAAACCTAGCCGCCAAAATGAAAAGATGGCTAGGAGACAGCATTACAGGAACAGGGATCAAACCTACAAATACAGAAGGGTTAGATGAATAACTCAGACCAGCCCGAAATGCTCTAGTGAACAGAGAAGTCACTACCTCATGAGGCAGCTCACTCCATTTTAAATTAATGTAACTGTTAGGAAGTTCTTCCTTTTATTACACAGCTGAAATCCCTCTTTTCAACTTCTACCCACTGTCTCTCTTCCAGATGACAGCCTTTCAAATATTTGAAGATGACCATCCTATTCCCCTTAAGTGTCTTCCTAAGACCACACGCCCCAGGTCCTTTTGTCTTTCATATTATATGCTCCTGGTATCATCCTGCTGACCCTCCTCGTCCACACTTTAGTTGGTTCCTATCACTGCTAAAGTACCAAGCACAGCAGGGAAGCCACAGTCTGTCCAGGTCACCATACACTGTGATTCCTAATTTGGGGGCCTACACGGCATTATTTTTGTTGGTCGCCACACGACCCTTCTGACCCTACCCAAAATCCTCCTGTTTGGCATCAACTGCTCTCAAATAGGGTCTCCCTTATGCCTTACTTGGGCACTTGGGTCTTTGAACACAGCTCTAGGACGTTCCTCAGTGCCCTGTAAAGGTGTCAGATTCAGACTTTCACATATACCTGTCAAGACCTTTTGGATTCCTTGTGTTGTCATCTGGGAGCTGCCCAAGCTTTAGGTAATGCACAGATTTTACAACTATGCTTTCTCTATCTCCATCCAAGTCTTTATAAAAGTGTTCAATAAGCCAAGGTTCTTTGTCAGCCATTCCAAGAACTCTCTCCAGGGGCCATTAATCCAGCTCTCTTTTGGGTACAGTCACTCATCAGATAATAATCTATTTAACTATATTATCATCTAACCCACATGTTGCCAACTTACCCACAACGGTATCACAAGAGACTGTCAGGTGCCTTGCTGACATTCAGACATATCACACCTCCAGAATTTCTCTGATCTACCCAGTTTTTATCTATCAAAATGAGGACAAATCTAGGCCAGACTGCAGAGATCATGGCTTCCCTTTCTGTGTGCCCACACATTATCCTGTTCGACAATTCTGTCGGAGATGATAATGATGATAATTGAGGAGCAGGCTTTCATGACACATCTATTATGCCCCAGGCGCTGTCCAGCGTGCTGGGCTGACAAGGACAAAAGCATCGCCCTGGTTTCAAGGATCTTACACTGTATTTAAGATAATGACGTGCACCGATTTAAGTACTACGGAATCCATACAAAAGCCCCCCAGACTCCGGGCCTGACACTCGATCAACTTAGATACCTAGTTGTCCTATCCATAATTCCATACTTTATTCAATGTCATAAAAGTTGAACAAACTTAAATACTCCTAATCTCATATATCCCCAAAGAAAACAAAGGGAGAAGGAGTGGGGAGGAAAGGAAGGGGGAGGGGAAGAAAATTAAAAACTCAAATTCTTATGGAAGTGAAATGTTGACAACTAAAAATTAATTAATTATTAAAAAAGAGGGAGACAGACTTCAGGTTATTCCAGGTATGGGCTCCAGCCAGCGCAGAAGCAAAGACAGTTCTGTGTGAGGAACACAGCGAAGGCCCATTTGGCTGGACTGCAGTGTGTGGGAGGGAAAGTACCTTTCAAAGAGGCCAGAAAAACAGGCTGGAAGCAAGTTACATGAGGTTTTGAAAGCTTAACGGAGGAGTTTATATTTGATCCAAGAAACAACAGTAAACTATGGGAGTTAACTGAGTAAGAGGCACACAGTCAGATATGCACTTAAGGAAAATTACTTTGGCAGCAGTATGTAGGATGGCCTGGAGTAGGGGGAGATTTGAGGCAGGAGTATCAATTAGGAAGTCTTTGAGAGAGGTGATGAGAGCCAGGTGGAAGGGAGGACATTGGGAAGGTGGAAATGGCAAACAGGCAGCTGAACAGATACTGAAGTGAGGAACTGGAGATAACATTTAAGCTGCAAATCTTTGCGACTGGGAGGATGGTGGTATTGTGAACAGAAACAGGGACATCTGGGAGAAGGATGGGTCCTGGGAGAAGGAAGGATAGTAAGTTGTGCTCCTGATCTGCTGATTTGAGTTATTAATGGGACATTCAATTAGAAATGTCTAATAGGGAGTTGCTGATGTGAGACACAGACTGGTTTGAATACGGCTCTTGAGTCACCTGTTTAGATATGATCATTAGACCCATGGAAGCTAATGAAGCCACTAAATGAGAGAAGAGATAGGAGAAGGGCCAGAGGACAGGGTCTTGGGATACACGGTCAGTGGGGGAGCATGACAAGGATGATCACCTAGCAAAGGAGAATGAGGAGGAGGAGAGCCATGAGAGAACAGGCCCACGGTCACGATGAGGACTGCATGGGACATTCCTGTAGCACTTTAGATTTGCAAGTGGCATTATCTCATTCAACCATCCTCACAACAACCCTATAAAATTATTCCCCTCACTTCACAGACATGAAAACTGAGACTGAGGTTATGTGAAGCAAATTTTGGTTAGATATAAAGATAACGTTTAAAGCTTTCCCAAAGTGGAATGGACTTCTTCAAGAAGTAGTACATTCCTTTTTCTGAGCAAAAGCTCAATGGACACTTATTGTCTACCTAAGAGCAAGGATTCCCCTCTGGTATGAGCTAGGCTAAATGGACACTGAGAAACCTTCCAACTCACTCTAGGCAATTCTGTGATTTGCTCAAAAGCACCTGAGGATCGGATTTTAACTGACTCCAAGTCCAATACTGGTATCACTGTGGCAATTTACTGCCCCCTTTCTTTTTACCTTACATTTTTT